ATTGACTTTAAATTTATACACAGTGTTTGAGGTCATGAGACGAAGAATCCTATTGATTTTCAAAGATTTCCGATAATTACTGCCAAAGTTATGGCCCTTGATCACTTTGAAAAATCTTGTGACACTCTAGAGGCTAAAGTTATCATCTGATTGACTTCAGATTGATACACAGAGTTTAAGATCTTGATACGAACAAGTAAATTTGATATGACTTGAACAGCTAAATCCATGATATTAAAAGTTTTGTATACTAAGCGTTAGCATGTTGCGGAACTTTATAAAAACCAAACAAATTCTAATGGTTTTCTGATAATTACTTCATGAGTTGTTACTCTTAATCAGATTTTAGTGTATTATAAATGTTTAATTACCGAAAAAAGTAAAAATATGTTGAATTCCCAGACGATTTAGCTGCTGTGGGCGTATCTTTGTTTAGCTTGTTCTCTATCCATCTCTTGAAAAATGTAGGCATATCCTGCTTGGCAGCTTCTTGTATACATATACCTTGTAGTGTAACATGTAAAATTTTATACAAACATTTCTTGACTAGATTACAAATCAAACAAGTTGGGGATTTATAATCTTTTGTAAGATAAGTCAACTTTACAAATGGTAACAAATCAATTCCACTACTGACCTAATATTGTAAATGACAATAGGTTAGGTTAAAGCACAGGGATAAAGGCTTTAGGTCCCTTACAATTATATCTATAATGAACTTAGACTATAATACATATTGATCATATTGCCTATTTTCATGACTTTTATATAATCAACCCCAAAAATATATGATTACACATGATCGATTAATGATACAACATACCAGATCATTGATGTATATATTTTAAAATTATACTGTTGTTATTATGTAATTTAAGATGCATAATGTAAGATTTAAATTAAGAGTTGTCAGTTCTTACTTCTAATACAGTGGTTCTCAACCTTTTTTTGTCAACGGCACATCTTGGAACACATGAAAAAATGGCGGCGTTTGAAATAGGCAGTTTGAACTCAACAGAAACTTTAGATTCTCATATAAGACTTTCCCTATTTGAATTGCCTTTAATCTTCATTCTAGTATGTTGGGGCTTTAAATATTTGTCAAATTAACATTGTGGGAACCATATATACAGGGGTGGTCCCCACTCTAAAAGATATTCAGGTTCCCATTTCTATCAGCCTGTGCTGAAAATAACAGATCTAAACTGAAAGATAGCAAAATATTTACTTCAAATGTGTCAATGAGAAAGACTAATACTAAAAACAATCCTGGTTTGCACTTGGAAGACACATTGTACAGATAATCCAATCTATTAAATATGCATGGACAGTAGATACATGTATTAAATGAAACTGACCAAGCTAAACGTTACTGTCTCACTGGACTGTACAGTTTATTTACACAAATTGTTTGCCAGTTAATCAATGTCATGTTTTACATCAACTTATTGGCAGGTCTTTTTATGGACAAAAAAACCTGTTTGAAATGTTGGAAGGACTAACTTCCATGTCCTAAAATATCCCACATGACTCTTGTAGGCCTATATGTTGACAGCCTCTTTCATAGTAGTTTATAGCCTATAGTTTTGAATTGAGTACCGTAGAGCGGGGCTACTTTAGTTTCCGGGGATTGCTATAGACCACAACAATTTTTGAAGATATTTCAAAAATTTCATCAAATCCATCAAAATTGTTATTCAATTATTATTTTCAACCAAATTTTAGATTCCTAACAATAGCATGTTATTTTATATAGTAACATAAACATAAACAAGTAATAGTTATATACATTGTTTTCAAGTTGTATGGGTTGATACACCGTCTCTTTTTTGAGTGGGGCTCCGAGGCGAAGCCAAGGAGAGATCTCCACTCAAAAAAGAGACGGTGTATCAACCCATACACCGAGAAAACAAGATATATAACTGACTTGTATACTAAATACTTTTTCGAGAAATAGAGATTTTTTCTATTTTCCCAATTTCAAAAGCATTTTTCATTTCACAAATTTATCAAAGTTTCCCATTTAGAGCCCCCCAATTATCTCATCGCAAACGCTTATTTCTACTCAGGTAAATGATGTCAGTACACCGCACGGGCATTTTACGGTTTAAATCAGGTCAGGGAAAATTTTCATAACAGGGATATTGATTGGTTGAGAAAAGCAAACGTCATCCAATCATTTTGTACAATAGCCATTTCTTGTTGTTTTGCCAACATCCTGGCTGCGTCGATTGTAGTGGATTGCAGAAATGAATGCAGGAATTCGTCGAATAATCCTACTTTATTATGTCACAGATATATATTTCTAAGACCGAGAATATCAGTTCTGCAAGATATTTCAATGATCGCAAAGATTTAGAAGCCCGATCCTTCACAATCACAGAACAAGAAATTAAAGCCATGCAGATGAGTCGAATCCTGCCAAACACGAGGAAAAATACCAATTGGATAGGAATATGGTGACACTTCGAGATCAGCACAAAAGATTGGATTTTAACTTGTTTGATAAGCAAGGTACATTTGCTAATTTCCGCACAGATCAATTCATTAACTTCGCGAGATATTGACATCCACTGACAGAAAAAAACAAGAACAGCCATTAAATGAAGACGAGTTGGAATTGTAGAGTTCTCAAGTTTGTAGTGTAGAAAATTCCAATGGATTAATTTATACTAGTAATATATTTGGATTACATGCTGCGGATGAGCATGAACCGCGACAAAATGTGAAAGGTTTTAGTGTTGAAAATGCCAAGAGATTAATTTATAATAGTTAAATATTTGGATTATGTGCTGCGGATGAGCATAAGCCGCGACAAAATGTGAAAGTGCGACAAAATGTGAAAGTGTGACTAGATATCAAAATGTAAAGAAATGTGAGACAAAATGTAAGAATATGACTGAGAGTGACGCACATTCGAAAAGTGCTGAGGCAGTTGAAAACGATGACTCTTTTACCATAACATGTTCAAAACGGGTTGTAGATATTCAAATAAATATGTAAATCATGATTTTGTTATTTTTGTCCCTTTTCAACTGATACACGGCCACTTTTCAAATGTGGCCGTGAAAAGTGGCCGTGTATCTGTGTATACCCTCCCATTTTCATCAAAGAGTCGAGAAAAAGTATGGGTATAACATATTGTCGTCGCCCCTGTCTTATACGATTTTGACGAAACTTGAAATATAGGTTTATCTTCAAAAGATCTTGGTTGCTTTCGATATTGCCATGTATCGGATCCAAACTTCATGGATTATGGTCCCTGTTTGTACGAAAAATCACATTTTTAGCTTGTGGACCCTATAGAGGTCACAATTTGTATCCGATTTTGTTGAAACTTGAAATGTAAGTTTATAACCCAAAGATCTTGGTTCATTTCGATATTCGTGCATATCGGATCATAACTACCTGAATTATGGCCCCTGATCGTACGAAAAATTGCGTTTTTAGCTTGTGGACCCTATAGAGGTAATAATTTTTATCCGATTTAAAAAAACGTTTTAGTATATCACCGTTACACCCTAAGGATGGTTGAGTTTGAATTTCGTGAAAATCGGCCCAAAACTGACAGACAAAATGTCCGTCCCTCATTCTCAAATAGCGTACAAATATGTTATATCAAGGTTATGGACCCTCTAGAGGTCACAATTTTCTTCTGATTTTGATGAAACTCAAAATGTAAGTTAATAACCCAAAGTTCTTGGATTCCTTTCAATATTAGCGCATATCGGACTGTAACTTCCTGAATTATGGCCCCTGACTGTACGAAAAATCATGTTTTAGCTTGTGGACCCTATAGCGGTCATAACTTTTATGCGATTTAAAAAAATGTTTGAATATATCACAGTTACACCCTAAGGAATTTCGTAAAAATAAGACCAAATCTGACAGACAAAATGGCCGCCCCTCATACTCAAATAGCGTAAAAATATCAAGGTTGTGGACTCTCTAGAGGTCACAATTTTTCTTCTGATTTTGATGGAACATGAAATGTAAGTTTATAACCCAAAGATCTCGGTTCCTTTCGATATTCGCACATATCGGACCGTAACTTCCTGAATTACGGCCCCTGATTGTACGGAAAATTGTGTTTTTAGCTTGTGGACCCTATAGAGGTTATAATTTTTATCCGATATCAAAAACCGTTTGAATATATCACCGTTACACCTTAAGGATGGTTGAATTCTCTCGCACTCAAATAGCATAAAAATAAGGTATATGAATGTTGTGGACCCTCTAGAGGTCACAATTTTCTTCTGATTTTGATGAAACTTGAAATATAAGTTTATAACCCAAAGATCTTGGTTCCTTTCGATATTTGCGCATATCGGATTGTAACTTCCTAAATTATGGCCCTTGAATGTGCGAAAAATTTTAGCTTGAGGTTCCTCTAGAGGTCACAATTATTATCCGATTTAAAACAACGTCTGAATATATCACCTTTACACGCTAAGGATGGTTGAGTTCAAATTTCGTGAAAGGTGGATCCTCTAGAGGTGACAATTTTCTTCCAATTTGGTTCCTTTCGATATTTGCGCATATCAGATCATAACTTCCTGAATTATGGCCCCTGATTGTACGAAAAATCGCTTTTTGTTTAGCTTGTTCTCTACCCATCTCTTGCAAAATGTGGGCGTATCCTGCCTTGCATCTGCTAGTTTTTTAAAAAAATAAACTGAAACAACTGCGGATTTGTTGAAATGCCCTGTGGTGAGGTTTCGAAGTTGACTATATTCTAAATTTAGATAAATATCATTTACACAAAACAATGGTACATGTACTTGATAGATATTTTTTGTGTGCTTTACTTTAGACGCTTTTTCAAGAGAAAATGTAACTAATATTTTTGTAGATTGTGTTTGGTTCCAGCTACATGTTAGGCCACACTTACAAATAAAATGAAATTGAATGTGGTTTAACATCCTACTGTTCTGCTCCGACTGAGCTTATGAAGACGGGGCCAAACCGAGAGGATTTAAAGTAAAAAAAATTATTTTCAGATCTTTAAATCTTGACAGAGAAAAAAAGTTAGAAAAAGAGAAATGTGAAAAAGAGAAACCTCCAGGATATATACCTACTACTGGTAATAATGAAGTTAACACTGAAAATCGTAAGCTACATTGTATTTATAATTTCACCTGCATTGTATTTCTAAATTCCTTAATTAAAGAGCACATAAAATAGCCATATACTTGAAGCCAGTATGATAATATTATACACCTACACCAATTTAACATAAATCTGATTGATATTTGTTGTCCATCGCCTTTTGAAGAAAACAGGAGACTATTAAAATCTGTGCCTCAGACTGTTCGTCCGTCCGTCAAATGTTTTGGGATACAATAACTCTCCTAACTGAGCTAGAATGTTCAAACTTGGTCTAAGTGTTTATTAGGTAAATGCTTTGATGGAGTTTGACAATGAGCTATGGTAAGCAGAGATAAGCAATTGGATTGGTTGATGCTTTGGGACATGATAATTTTGGTTCTAATTATATCAATACCTTGACTAAGTTCGATATGAGCATTTTTGGCTCGGTTTAAGCAGAACTGTAATTGTAAGCAATTTGATTGGTTGTGGTTGAGACTTTAGAACATGTTGACTTCGCTTCTGATCAGATGAGAGTGGTGAAACTTCATGCATAGTTTCATTACATAAGTACCTTGACTAGGTTCGATGCTAAGCATTTTCTGCTTATGCTTAGTAGATACTTTAATCTGATTGGTCGAGACATTGGAACACAGTAACTCTCCTCCAAATTAAGGTAGAATGATTAAATTTGATGTAGGTGTCTATTAGGTGAATGCCTTGACAGTGGTCGATCATGCGCATTTTCCACTAAGCAGAGATAAGCAATTTTATTGGTTGAGACTATGGAAAACAATAACTTTGGTTCTAATCAGGTGAGAGTGATGAAATTCAGAGTATAGATTCATTTTATGAACACCTTTACTAAGTTCGATGATGAGAATTTTCTGCTTAAGCTAAGTAGTGATAAGCAATTTGATTGGAACATAACTTTTAATTGCGATAGAATGTTTAAACTTGGGGTACATATAGATGTTCATTAGGTGAATGTCTTGACTGAGTTCAATGATTAACATTTTCGTTAAAGCTAAGTAGAGCTAAGCAATTTCAATAGTCGATGCTTTGGAACAAGATAACTTTGATATAGTTTCACTAACAGGTAGGCCTACTTCAAAACCTTGACTGAGTTCGATCTTGTACATTTTCTGCTTAGATTAGATAATCTGTTTGATTGCTCGATTCTTTTCAAAAACTAATTAGTGTGTGTCATCTATTTATTTTGGGATATCAGCAGGGGAAAAAAAAAACCTCTGTTGGCTTGTTTTACTACAATTTATATGTCAAAGAGAAAAAAATTTGATTTATAATGACTACTCAAGCCAGGCCATTCTGGGCCTATTGAATAGAACAATTATATTTCAGTAATTTGGTTGCTCATAGGGGTCTTTAGCAGTGTGGTTAACTGGAGAAAACCCACAAGGTTTTCAAGGTGACCCTACTCATTGTCACTTAGACTCATTGACAGATCTTATGATCTTAGGTACATGTAGAAACATTGTTAACAGCCAATAAATCTAACACTCATTTACTTCTATTATTGGTCACTTATTCAATTATTTCCTCATCAGATTTTCTCAAAGTGGTGTCACATAAATATTACATCATTGTTTTTTTTACCGTGTTTTATGTATTTTTCATTATTACTACAGAAGTCCAGACAATTGATAGTTGTCAAGCGATGTTTTTACCTTTAGGAGCCTCCGCATCCCTACTCATAATGTTTTTCTTCTTTGATTCCTTACAAATGGTGTTTGCAATCTTTACAGCAAGTAAGTGATTATATGATTAATATATTGTTAAATATCACTATCACCATGACATCTGCATAGGTGGGAACAAGTCACAGCACATCGAGTTCGACTGGAGTCTCAACTCCCGTTCAGGTCGCCAGTTTATCAAATGAGTAAGGAAATCATGGTGAATAAGGCAAGTTAGAGTTATGTCCCTTTACCGTGAACGAAGCCCTTAGCTCTTTTGTGTCACAATTTGTCAAGTCCCGAGTCATGGGACTAGAGTTCCCACCTCTAGACATCTGTAGAGTGGTTGTTTTTTTTTGATGGGGGGGGGGAATGTAAATTGAATAAATCTATGAAGAAAAACAAACAATTCTGTGAAAATATTTTGTTTCTTTTTCAATATAGTCTGATCCTTAATGTAAATCTGTCGGCTTTTCGGGTAGAAATCGTGGAACAAGCTTTATTTTGAAGGTTTTGATGTTTAATGACAAAAACAACAATGTTTACATTTTTTCTGAGTAGGTTTTCATGGTATGGGAGACCATTTTCTGAGGGTAGACATTTTCAATAATATTCCAACTTATTTTTTTTTATTTTTACCCTATTTATAATGTTATTGACATATCAACTGTGATTTGGCACTGTATTAGTATTCACAGGGGTCATGACTATATTTCAAATTTTTTCCCATCACTTCATGAAGATATTTCCAAGATGGCGGCCATTTTTAGTGGAAAAATGGGACGATGTGAAGATTTTGCTTAAGAGTAGTGTTTGGTGTCAATATATATGTTTTCGGGGTTGCAGATTTCATTTCTGACATTTACAACCTTGTAAATTGATCTCATGGTCACATACTTAGCATATTTGCAAGATGGCAGCCATTTTTGGCGGGAATTGGGACATGTCCAGATTTTGATTAAGTAGTAGTGTTTGGTATCAATATATATGTTTACGGGGGCGCAGATTTCATTTCTGACATTTACAACTATGTAAAATGATCACATGTTCACATATTTAGCATATTGCCAATATTGCTCCCGCTTATGCTGGAAAAATCAAATGATTTGCTGATTTTGTTTTAGTAGTTGTCTTCGGTGTCAATATATATGTTTTCGGTTTGCGCAGATTTGATTTCTGCCATATACAACTGTGTAAAATGATCAGTGATCAATTTAGCATATTTTCAAGTCGGCAGAACGTTATCATATATTTACTTGTCGTTGTTATTTACACGTTTCTGTGTCTAATTCTGCTACGTAGGCTATTAGCTTGTAGCACATTCCTGAAAGCCGGTACCGTGTCAGACCCATTTGGTATATTATCCAACAATGAAAATTACTGATCTGAGCTGATATCGATTTTCCTGGGAAAGAAAAGACTATTCACTTGGTCCCCTGGCATGAATAGAGCGTAACAGCAGCATGGGACTTGCGTCTCATTGACACGCGCCCATCATGCTCCTGCCACGACCACACCAAGTGCTTTTTACGCCCAGCGCACTAAAGATCTTAATACGCTCATGGCCAAGATCTGGCTACGCGCACCGCGTTCCCACCATGCTCTCACAGTTATTAGTCAGACTAGGGTACGTTCTCACCACACTCCCGTGACCTGCCTACCAAACATAAGCTGCCTTTTCGACGTGCCTATAGTGAAAGCGCCATGCTCACTTTGTCCTCATTCACTTTCAAAGCAGAGAACAACCAAATGCCAAGCAGTCAAGAACATTTTTTTAGTTTCTTGATGTTTCATCTTAGAATGCTAGACTGGAACTGATGGACGAGGCTCAGTACGTTCCCTATATATACAAAAAGGTTGTAACAGCATAGCAAGCATGTGGCTGGGAGTTTTGTTCCAGCCTGGCGGCAGCGTGGTTAAAACTGATGGGGATGTGGCTGTAAATGAAATACTTGCTAAGAAGCCCTCGTGACATAGATATAGATTATGTTATCATCTGAGTTCCAAGCTGAATGTGGAACGAGCATGTGGAATGATGTTGCGTTGGAAACATAAAGTATGTCACCACTTACACAACCAGTGGCCGGCTACTTTACATCACTGCCAGCAGTTCTTTCAGGGCTGATGGCAGTGATGTCATAGATGAAGGGTCACGTCGGCGTTTAATTGGTGATGTAGTTTGTTTGCAACAGCGTTCCTTTGGACGACTCCTTCCATATGCAGCTTTATGTCAGTTGATAATATAATCTATGCCACGAAGTTTTTTTTATAGCAAGTATTACTATTTCATTTGCAGTGCTTGTTTATATTTCTTTGTTTACCTCTTTATATTTAATATCATACATTTCTGTTTTACTTTTTAATTTATTAATTACCTTTTCAAATGTTGTAAGTCTCACATTTTTAACCATCATTAATTTTGTATCTATAACCGACAGAAAATATAAACTGAAAGTTTTGATGGCGCCACTAAGTCTTAAAATGAGACTGATCGACCAAGTAAATTCACTTTTTTTCCTGGAAAATCGATACTACCTCAGTGGTCAACTCGGATGAGGAATGTTCATCATTGGATAATATACCTAATGGGTAAAATACGGCAATGACTTCCAGGAACATGCTACAAGCTTATACATAGCAGAATTGGATTCAGAAACCGTTTCTGTAATATGTTTAGAAAACGCCCCTGCCAATATTTATACATTGCCAAATCACAGTTGATATGTCGATAACATTATAAAAAAGGTAAAAATAAAAAAAATAAGTTGGAATATTATCGCAAAATGGCTACCCTCAAATAATGGCCTCTCATACTATAAAGACCTACTCAGAAAAAATGTCAACATTGGTTTTTTTATCATAAAACATCAAAACCTTCAAAATAAAGCTTACTCCAAGATTTCTAATCGAAAAGCTGACGAATGAGAATTATGTAACAAACCCAATCAGACTAATATATTGGATACTGTAAATATGACTTATTAATTTATTTCAGTTTTAGCAACTGTTGCATTTGCTTTTTTATTACTACCCATGTGCCAATACATGATACAGCCATGTGCTAGTGGTCAAAAGTAAGTACAAATATCTGACTGTATGCTTGAATGAAATTTCTTGTGTGAGATTGTCAAATGATATCTGACAATTCATAAAAAAAATTGACTGTCACTAGATAAGAGAACATGAAAGAAAAATAGAAAAAGTCTGAAAATAGAATGAATAAACACACGTGAATGTACGGACTGTTTCTATTTTTCTCGTGTTCTCTTATCTAATGACATTCAAATACTATTTTGAATTGTCAGATATACTCTTACTGTCTCATATAACAACTTTTGGTCTTTGAAGGAATTATTAGTGAGCAGAAATTTGCCCATGTATCTGTTATCACTCGTCACTTCAGTCAGTTATATAGAGGGATAACTTGTGTTTTCCTTTTGCGTTCGTCACTTCCGATTGTTGAAGCATTGATTACCCATCTATCGTAGCAATGATCTCTGTGATAGAATAATATTTGGAACGTGTTTGGCACCAATATTGTCCTTTAATTACATCTTGTAAATGTCCGGAGTGATTCCTTTACGGATGACAAGGAAAGTGTACCTGGTTGTTTAGGAAGATACAAAATCCATGTTTCATCTGTGTAGACATCGGCATCCACATAAAAAAAACCTTCACTGTTGGAATTTGGGAAAAAGGTGGAAAAGATGCTGTCTGTGCATAATTCTCCTACGTCAAATCGCACACATAGCAATAGAAACAAAATTTGGCTTGTTTGTCTCAAAATGACCGTAGTATTGTATTTACCAGACATCAAGCTCATTTCATTCGATTCATGTTAATCTCTCATTTTTTCAGGATTTCTTTTGGTATTTGTGGAAGATTTACAGCTGCAGAAATTCTCTCTTTTTGTTTATCATTTTTTATTGTCTGTGTTTGGATCTTAACTGGACACTGGCTGCTCATGGACGGTAATATATTATACTTTTAAAATATAATTTACAATTTCCGATTCTTCCCACACCAAATTATGTGTAATATATAATATATTAGCTATTAAAGTGCACACAAGGTGGCAGACAATACTTTTCGGTACGTATAGCCAATGGTAACTATATCCACTTTACGGCAAGTTCACACCAATCTGATAATATTAATTCAGAAAAAGAGACCTCCTGTAAAAACAACTTTGCCAATTATTGAAAACACTCTTAATCCCCTCAGTTGCCAGTGACGTCAGAATTTTTATTCCTTAATTACCTATATCCAGCCGGCGTGTGTATTCATTAATGCCTGACTGATTCCTTAATCCCCTAATTAAAAAAAGAATTGACTAAAGAATAATTCTTTCTTCTTTGAGCGGCATTTAGCAATTGACATATGTAATAAACACAAAACCATAATATGGAACACAATTACTGTTTTAATTAAAGTGACGTTTCGTTGATGGTTCTCTCAATGTTTTCAAGCAATTGATGATGAAAATAATATACAGAAGGTTCTCTTCCGTCAGAAGAGTATTGTGGTTCTAATTTCCCTGAGTAAAAGAGTACAGAAATAAAAAAAATGTGGTCATGTGAAATGTATCATAAAAGTCAAACATGATTAAAACACAATTTGTAAATGACGAGCCGTTATCAAAGTAGCCAACTGTATCTCGTTTTCCTGTAGCCATCGTACGGCACCATCCAATCAACCGGATTAAGGTCGCAATTGAAAAATTGAAAAGCGTTTTGTAGTGTCGGATACTTAAACGTTAATAGCTGAATTAATTTTAATCAGATTTGTGTGAACTTGCCGTAAAGTGGATATAGTAACCATTGGCTATACGTAACGGAAAAGTATTGTCGGCCATCTTATGTGCACTTTAAAGAATATGCAAGTACTACACAGTAGACCATGTATTTTGCTGTTTATAAATATTATAATTAAAGATACATTATGGGAGATAAGATAACGAGTTGTTAGTTCTCACTATAATAGTTAAAAACTAGATAATGTAAAGGCAATTTGCTTAAAATTTCATTCAAATTGATCCACTACGAACCAAGATCTAAGCGATTGAAATTTCCGCCTAGCCTCGATCATCATTACGAATAGTCTGATTATCCATTTAATCGTTAAATCGTGAACTAAAGTTATGCTGTAAATCGGCTCATAATCCACTAAAGATCGCAAGCTAGCGATGCCATCTAGAGTTGATTATGGTGTGGATAGGTTAATTAATTTCTAATTAATAATTTAGATAACATTTTAGGTCTAAAGAAAGACCTGCAATAGACAGATTTAGCTCTTGCATAATGTTTGTTTAACACTTTTAAACTTTGTATATATGTAGGCCTACTTTTATTTTATTTTGCGTATTTACTGCATTTTTATATACCCACATTGAAATGTGGTCAAATATTGTCGTCGCCCCTGTCCGGCCGGCCGGCGTCCACCTAAAGTTAATATCCGATTTCTGATAATTACTGCCAGTTTATGGCCCTTGATCACTTTTAAAGTCTTGTGGACGCTCTAGAGGCTAAAATTAATATTCGATTGACTTTAAATTTATACACAGTGTTTAAGGTCATGAGATGAAGAAGTCTATTGATTTTCAACATTATCCGATAATTACTGTCAGAGTTATGGCTCTTGACCACTTTTTTTAAAAACTTGTGGACACTCTAGAGGCTAAAGTTAATATCCGATTGACTTAAATTTCAGGTGATTTTCAATGATTTCCGATAATTACTACCAGAGTTATCTTGTGGCTGCTCTAGGGACCAAAGTTATCATCTGATTGACTTTAGATTGATATACAGCTAAATTTCAATGAACAGCTAAATCCGTGATATTGAATGTTTCGTATACTAAACATTATCATGGGGCAGAACTAAAAGCGAAACAAATTCTAATGATTCTCTAATAATTACTTAATGAGTTGTTACTCTTAATCAGATTTTAGTGTATTTTAAATGTTTCATTACCAACAATAGAAAAAATATGCGACAACTCTTGTTGACTGCTCGGACAACTTAGCTGCTGTGGGCGTATGTTTCGTTGTCTGGCAACCTATCTTAATTAAAGATTTTTTACTGTGCTTGGATCTAAAATAATTTAAGAACATTTGTATTAATTCTTTCACCCTTTGTAATTGTATTTTCAGCACTTGGCATGGGTTTATGTGTAGCATTTATTGCTTTAGTTCGATTACCTAGTCTCAAAGTTTCAACCCTTTTATTAGTAGGACTTCTTGTATATGATGTCTTTTGGGTAAGTTAATTATTTTAATAAATTGGTTTGTGGTTTGCTCTTGCATTACCGAGTCAGTCACTATGGGGATACTTGATTAAACATTCTGGAATTGAATTTTCTCAACGACAATATTGGGCAACAAAGCATGCCCTTGACCAATTACCATCGCTGATTTTGTCACAATTCCATGAACTTAATTCCATAACAATCAATTGCAATTCGGTCAATTCGGAACTTTCCAGACTGACAGTTAAGCAACCCCCCTGTTCTTATTCTTGTCAATATATTTTCCTGGTGTAGGCCTACTATTTATTCAATAATTCTGTTATGTTGACACATCCATTTGTATTCATTAAAGGTAGAAGTTTTATGTGCAGTCTTCCATATTCACAGAGAAAACATATCTTGTTTTCATTCAGTTTAGAACAGTGTATTCTAAAACAACAAAGTTCATCATTCTGTTGATAAAGTTGCACTGTTTATAATTAGCAGATCACTGCAAGTGTATTGATAAGGTTTGGCATTCAACTAATTATCCATTTATTGTTCTCTTCCAGGTATTTTTCTCTTCTTATATATTTAGTGCCAATGTAATGGTTAAAGTAGCAACCAGACCAGCTGAAAACCCAGTAAGTTCTTTAACTTCAGATCTGTATGAAATTTATGTGTAATATTTAAATAATTGAAGCAGAAAAACCTATTGAATTTCGGCCGATGACATACTTGCTGTGGACCTGTATTGTTACCTGGCAACTTATCTTTAGGCTGTTATATTTTATTGGTTTTATATCTAATATTTACATATAATCGGAATACATGACTCTTTTCAGTTAATTCTCATTATCAAAACATCATTGTGTAATGAATTAATGAGTGTTTTAGTTGGTAATAATATTCCTTCATTGAAGTTCTTTACACAATGACATCATTTTATTTATTTTGAGTCATTCCAAATGAAGACTACAATAGGGATTTTCCATAACATTAAAACATCAATTGATTATGTGATTTGATTGCCTTTGAATGATTACTTAATGATCGATTGCCTATCAGATAAACATTCCTGGGCACGTCATTCAGAAATCTGAGCCACTGTGATCATGAGGTATTTATGCTAGAGTAAGAGATAATATATCCTCATTCACTCTCAATCAATTAAATACTTACTACAGACAATACTGGAAAAATGTTTAACCAGACATGATGACAATGCACCAGTTGTAAATATGAATATCAAAGTTAAAGGACAGCTGTTGCCCATGTCAACTATGCAGTGGTGTATGCAAAGTTTCCCAAAATTAAATTGATAAAATAGTTTTCTTGAGGTATATGTCTCCCAAGACCATTATTTTTGTTAATTAAGATAATTAATGGGCATGTCTTAGAAAACTAAAATTGGGGCATCAGCTGTCCAAGAAGAGGTAAAGGGTCAGGTTATCTTTTTACACAAAATATGATATAGGAACAGTGTGTTTGAATTATGATCTATAGAGTAAGGTTTATGTATTTACAAATATATAATTCTACTTCTTTCATTTCAGGTGGGCATGCTAGCCAAAAAACTCCATTTAACTGGTTTTGTTCGAGATGCACCAAAATTGTCTCTTCCAGCCAAATTAGTTTTTCCCAGGTAGTGGTAACTGCTATTGATGCATTTTGTGTACTTTCTTGTCCCAACGTCTTCCAAAGGCAGGGGACTATTAAAATGGGTTTGTCTGTAATTTATTTGGTGAATGCCATGATGGAGTTTGATGAAACTTTGTGTACAGTTTCATTACCTTGACTAAGTTTAATAATAAGCATTTTCTGTTCAAGTTTTGTCCCGATGGGCTATTGGAATTATTTTGCTAAAATATCAAATTTCTGACGGCTTAATTTAATAAAGAAAACAAAATCAAAATTCCAAACGCAAGATGATGTCCTGCCTTGGATACGAAATGAAATGAAATGAAATGGGGTTTAACGTCCTACTGTTTTGTTTTGAACTGGGCTAATGAAGACGGGTGTACGCCATACAGTGTGCCATGATGGAAATTTTGCCCGGACAGCGGCACTACGACCTACTCTTATATTGAATTCCAACTGTCAAGGAATCTTTTACGTGCACGCCAATGTGTAGACGGGACCTCATTTTTTTCGCCTTTCGATTTTTAAAAAAAGCCCATCAATAAATTTTCACTGGGAACAAAATGACGACAGACTTATTGCATAGCGAGCAGCATAGATCAATGAAATTTTAATTTCACATATCTGTGTAAATACTAAATACATCAAAACCTTGGCAAAGTTCATTGATGAGCAATGTCTGCTTAGGCTTCGTAAAGACTTCAATTTGATTGGTTGAGACTTTGGAACCCTATATCTCTCCTTCTCATTGAGCTACAATGTTCGAACTTGGTGTAGGTGTTTAATAGGTATATGCCATAACTGGGTTCGTTGATGAGCAATTTCTGCCAACAGAGATACACAATTTGATACTTTGGAAAACACAAGTGACATTGAGGAGGTCTTGTTTATGAATGTGCCTACTGAAACAATACTCGTCAACAGGTTAAACATAGTGTATTGTGTTGAATTGGGACGCACCAAAATGTGAAAGACGCTTCAGCTTTTTTTCAAGTTTCCAAGTGAGACCAAAGATTAGTGTATTGTATTGAAATAAAAAAAAGGTAGCCATGCGATATTTGAATTTTTGAGAAAAATATCAATAAAATTCAAACCATGTAGGTTGTGTTCACAGAATTTATGTTAATAATATAAAAGCTTGGACTTAAAATTGCGACAAAAATCAATTGTACATTGACAAGAGTTCCATGGTTATTGCCTCGGGCATTATTGGCGTTAATCAAGTAAAATGACACTATTCACTCTTAGAAAACTTTCAGGAATAATTAGTTACTGGCATATCTGATCTCTGTTGAAAAATTTGATTATAAATTTAAATATTTTCAAATTTATTTTTCAGTTCTCAAAATTCTAGTCATTTCTCAATGCTGGGATTGGGAGATATTGTAAGTATATATATAATGTTATTATTTTATCAGTTATATTTAAAATTTATGCCAATTTCTATATGACCACATTGAAATTTGGTCTCTATTGTTGTCACTCCAAAGAGCTAGTTATCATCTGTTGTTGTTGTTCTTAGTGTTTAACGTCCGCTTCCACCGAAGGTGATATCGCAGACAAGTTTTTTTCATTAACTTAGCGCACGCGCAGGGGTCTTTCCTGTGGGAGGAAACCGGAGTACCTGGAGAAAACCCACGAGGTTGAGAAGGCGCCCCTATCTCCAAGCCACATACGCTCACACCAGGGATCGAAACCACAGCCGCAAGCCAGAGGTGACCGGCCAGCTAGAGGTCGAAGCGCGGCACTCTAGACCACTAGGCCATCCCAACCCCCCAGGTATCATCTGACTACCTGTATGTTTTTTGTATAATAAATATTAGCACTAGGAAGAACTAGAAGCCAATCAAATTTTGATAGTTATTTAAAGTTACATTATGTAAGATTTAGATAAAAAGTTGATCGTTCTTGCTATAATAGATCAAAAATAGTTAATGGAAAATAAATATATTGAAAACTTTATTCAAATTACTTTATTCTGTGCAAAGTTATGAGTGTTTGTAATTTTGACAACATGTAGTGTAGATTGTTTATTATCGTAGCAACGACACTTGACAATCGTGACTAAGTCTTGAAATGTGATCTACAGACTACACTGATCATCTAATTGTTTTTAAATTTATATATTATGTTATTTACATTAGTGAGATGATTAATTTCAACTATTTCTTAAAGAGTTATGTCCCTTCTTACATTTTGTAGAATCTTGTGAACACTCGTTAAGATAAAAGTTATCATCCGATCTGTATGAAATTTATGTGCATTATTTGAAGTAGTAAAACAAAGAAGTCTATCAAATTTCAACAATTTCCGTTAAATACCTGTAGAGTTATGGCCCTTGTTTCGCTTGGTAGAATCTTATATGCATTATTTAAATTAGTTAACTGAATAAGCTAATCAAATTTCAACTATGTCCGCCAGTTACTTTTAAGGGTTATGCTTGTCTTCATTAGTTTGTTGGAGCAGAACAGTAGGACGTTGAACCCCATTTCATTTCATTTCTAAGAGTTATGGCCCTTGTTTCACTTTGTAGAACCTTGTGAATGCTCCAACTACAAGTGTCTTGTACGTGTAAATGCCCTCATTACAAACAAAAGAAATTCTTGGATGATTTAGCTGTTGTGGGTGTATGTTTCGTTGCATTTCAGATGCCTTCTCTATGGGTTATTCATCATACAGGCTATGCAACTTTAAAATGAATAAAACATATTGGGTATGATATCATATGTACATTTTTTTTTTAGGTGATGCCCGGTCTATTACTCTGTTTTGTTCTCCGGTATGATGCTTACAAAAAGAATCAAACAGGATCAGCTGAGACTGGTATTCCTCCTACACCATCATATGTACAAAAACTCACCTATTTTCACTGCTCTTTAGTTGGATATTTTCTAGGTAAGATAATCCCAAATGTCCCCTCTGAACATAGTTTAAAGTAGCCAAGTCTTTAACTCACTATCATCCACAGTCTTTGACATTGTAAACACGACTTATTGATCAATTTAAATCAACATTGATGTTGTTATCTTACCATGATGAAAAGATGGGCTTCTGGTATCCAATATTTAAGACACAATGAAAATTTTAAACTTGGCACATGATTGCACACGAATCACATGCCAGAATGCTTTGAGCGCCATTTGTAATGAAGTGACTGGATGAACGAGGCTAATCATATCCCGCAAGGGAAGACTACCAGAGTAGACAAGAATAACCAGATGCCAAAGACGACACTCTTTGCCTATTTCGCCGAACTTTACTGATTAGAAATAGCAGTAAAAACAGAGAAAATTGAATGTAAATCAGGCGACTATTAAAATGGGTCTGTCTGTCTGTCCGTCACACTTTTTGGGACACAATAACTCTCTTTCTAATTAAGCTAGAATGTTCAAACTTGGTGTGGGGGGATCACGTGGCTAAGTGGGTAAGACGCTGGCTCGCTAGCCTGGAGGTCGGGTGTTCGATCCCTGCATTGGCCGAGAAAGTTCATCCAGATTTTCCGGCGTGGTTTCCCCCTTGTCAGTGATGCAGGACGGAGGGCCTGACAAGGACAGCTGTCTAGTCTTTCGGATGGGACGAAAAACTGAGGACGCGTGTACATATTGGCGTGCACATAAAAGACCCCTTGGCAGTTGGAATTCGATATAAGAGTAGGCCGTAATGCCGCTGCCCGGACAAAATTTCCCTCATAGCACACTGTATGGCGTATGCCCCTCTTCATTAGCCCAGGTTAGGAGCAGAACAGTAGGATTAAACCCCATTTCATTTCATTTCATTTCAAAGTTGGTGTAGATATTTTTTAAGTCAATGCCTTGATTGAGTTCAAGAGAGAGAGATAGAGAGAGAGAGATGGGGTTTAAGTCCACTCGACATAAACTAGGTCATTTCGGGACTAACATATGGTTTAATTTTATTCCAATAATTCGCTTGCGCGTAGGGGTCTTTACCAGTGGGAGGAAACCAGAGGACCCGGAGAAAACCCACGAGGTTGAACAGGCGACCCTACTCCTTGTCACGTACAACCGGGGATTCGAAACCACGGCAGTTGACTCAATGACAGACCTTATGATAAAGCGTACGTGCTAACCATTCGGCCATCCAACCCCCGGATGGAGTTCGAAGATGAGCATATTCTGCTTAGGGTAAGCAGAGATAAACAATTTGATTGGTTGATGCTTTGGGACACGATAACTTTAGTTCTAATTAAGTGAGAGTGATGAAACTTGGTGTATAGTTTCATTACATAAGCAATTTGATTGGCCGAGACTTAGGAACACAATTACTCTCTTTCTAATTGAGGTAGAATGTTCAAACCTGGTGTAGGTGTTTATTAGGTCAATGCCTTTATGGTGTTTGAAGATGAGCTTTTTTTTGCATAGGGTAAGCATATATAAGCAATTTGATTGGTTGATGCTTTGGGACACAATAGCTTTAGTTCTAATTACACGAGAGTCATGAAATTTGGTGTATAGTTTTATTACATCAATACCTTGACTAAGTTTGATAATGAGCATTTTCTGCTCAGGGTAAGCAGAGCGATAAGCAATTTGATTGGTCAAGACTTTGGAATACAATAACTCTCATTCTAATTGAGTTAGAATGTTCACACTTGACATAGGTGTCTATTAGGTGAATACCGTATGGAGATCGAAGATGAGGATTTTCTGCTTAGGGTAAGCAGAGATAAGCAATTTGATTGGTTGATGCTTTGGGACAGGATAACTTTAGTTCTAATTTAGTGAGAGTGAGGACACTTGGTGTATAGTTTTATCACATCAATACCTTGACTAAGTTCGATAATGAGCACTTTCTGCTCAGGGTAAGCAGAGCGATAAGCAATTTGATTGGCCGAGACTTTGGAACACAATAACTCTCCTTCTAATTAAGGTAGAATGTTCAAACTTGGTGTAGGCGGTCATTATATTAGGTGGATGCCTTGATCTAGTTCGGTGATAAAAATTGTCTGCTTACATTAAGCAAAGATAAGCAATCTGATTGGTTGATGCTTTGGGGCCTGATAACTTTGGTTATAATTAAGTGAGAGTGATGAAATTCGAGTATAGATTCATTATATCATTACCTTGACTAAGTTCGATGATGAGAATTTTCTGCTTAGGCTAAGGAGAGATAATTAATTTGATTGGTCAAGACTTTGGAACATAACAACTCTGCTTTTAATTGAGGTAGAATGTTTGAACTTGATGTAGATGTTCATTAGATGAAAGTCTTGACTGAGTTCAATGATTAACATTTCGAGCTAAAGCTAAGCAGAGTTTATCGATTTCATTGGTCGATGCTTTGGGACAAGATAATCTTGATTCTATCTGATACAGTGATGAAACTTAGTGTATAGTTGATAATCAGTTTGATTGCTTGATACTTTTGAAAAAATTAAATGTGCGATTAATAAATATGTATCATCTATTTATTTTGGGATTTCCGCGGGGGACATCAGCCTCACCGTTGGCTTGTTTTTTTTTTCGAAATGGCCTAAAATGACATAAATATGGTTCAACCAGTCAATGAGAGCTTATCATTTTAAATATTAAATCATTACTACAAGTAAATTATGTATTATTGTAGGCTTGTTAACAGCTACCGTTTCTTCCGAGATGTTCCGAGCTGCCCAACCAGCTTTACTCTACCTCGTACCATTTACATTACTTCCACTGCTCACAATGGCATATCTAAAGGTTAGTATTCACAGCTGGATGAAAATTTTATAGGTCTGTAGGTTACAGGCCAACAGAAAGATATGACAAATGTTATCATCTGATCTGTATGAAATTTATATGCATCATTTAAATTAGTGAAACAATTTCTGTTAATTACTTCCAGAGTTTAGACCCTTGTTTCATTTTGTAGAACCTTGTAAACCCTCAAACAATAAAAATTATAATCTGGTCTGTATGAAATCGTCTTGTAAAAGCCCCTATTGCCTTCAAAATAATAGATATGCGACAACACTTGTCGACCGCTCAGACAATTTAGCTGCGGTCGGCATGTTTTGTTACCTGGCAACCTATCTTTAAATAGATAATTTAGTGTACCTATACATTGTTTAGGCATTTACAAATGAAACAACCTTTCCCTTTATCTCTCCGGGGAACCCCAGGACTGCAGCCTAAAAAGCTCACATTTTAATCTGGCCCTGTCAGTATTGTGTATCTCTCAAGAATTTAAGTAGGATACCTCTGTGCAGATTGTGTTTGTCGACCAGTAACATAGAAAATTAATTCTATAATTTTATGTTTTAGGGTGATTTACGAAGAATGTGGCATGAACCCTTTATAGCTAGTGTTCCTTCTAAACATTTAGAAGTGTAGCTAAAATTCCACGGACTGTGTAACTGAATCTTGTCATTAATTTATTGTGATGTGAGGAAACAAAAAAACATTTTTATTAAAAAAAAATTATGAGTACTGTAACCTAACCAAGGAAAGACCTTCAGCTGCTAAGTCGAGAAATGGTTGTCTAAATGACTAAATTAAGACTAGCAAAAGAGCTTTTTAAATACAGTAGTGGCAACAATATTTGTGTGCAATAAAAGTGAAAATTGTCTTACTACCTGAGGTATGGTGTGTGAGGGTTACTTTGGTTTTAGCAAAGTAATATAAGAATAAATGGACATGATAGATGAACTAAATACATAGGATAAACTTTGTTAAAGCAGAGTTATCTTATTAAATTGCTCTTCGGAGGTGGACATTCTTCAAAACAATGTTAAGAGATGTATAAAAGTTATCAAGAATGGTGATGAAAATATTTTGGATAGGTCTAGATAAAAGGTTATGGAAGAGTATAGTTTATTGTGTAAGGTCATCGAAGTGTCCAATTGACTGTGTAATAAAGAATCACAATATAATATATTTTACAATATTGTTGTAGGTCAATTTTCCATGTATCATTCTTATTATTTGTTCAAACCATGTTATGTCAAATCATGTTTATTTTACTGAATGTGAACAGTACCAATAGTATCACATGGGCATCTTCCCACAAACTGGTGTAGCATGAATAGTATAGGCTATCCTTTTTTGTGTTAGCTCAGCTAAAGTTATGCGAAAGTGGCGTTTTCTCTCTGCTCATCTTGATGTTGATATACTAAAATATTTGTGATATGTTATTGTAACTTTCTGACGTGTATGTTTTTTTCATTTTACAGTTTAATCCTGATTACTTTCAAAATCACTTATTTAAATCATTTCCATATATTGTAGGTTGTTTTGTCATGATTCATCAACTCACTGAACAAACTATATAATTATAGAAAATTCTCACATTTTCAATTGTTTAATCCTTTGCCCTCAAAATTAAGCCTACAATTAATTTAAGTGATGCTATGTGGATTTATGTAAATGGTGAATTACATTGACATTTGATATATGAACCTACATACAATGATTTTGAGACCAGTACTATATTTGAAATAATATGTATTTGGGACTTGTCTTTTCTGCATAAAGACAAATATCTCTCAATGTAATTAGTTACATAGTTATAATACATTAGATTACAGATACAGGTACATGGAAACTCATATTTCCATATCAGCTAATGAGCTTGTAACCAGTGCTACAGGAATATAACAGTACTTGATTTAAAGAATTTTTTATACAAACTTTTAAAGCAAAATAAACATTTATAAATGTTAATATTTTTACTGTGAATGATTTTAGTAAGGAAAAATTTAAAAGATTTTTATTTACCCACTTTTTTAAAAATTGAATTATGATTTTAGGTATGTTCTCATACTAAAGATTGATAGTTTCTGTTAAAGTACATTTTATTTGTTTTTACTAAATCACTCTGTAATGCATATGTAGAAGATATAAAAAAAAGCATTATATTTGGATTAAAATCGTTTTCATAACAATTATATATCATAATTCATATATATATATATATCCTGTATATCCTGTTTACATTAAAGGACAATTTTGGTGTCAGTCATTATCACATATGTGATAGAACTGGTTAAACACATTCCAAATATAATTTTAACACAAGAGATCATTGCTACGATAGATGCGTAATGAAGGTTTCAACAATCAGAAGTGACGAACGCAAAAGGAAAACACGCGTTATCCCTCTATATAACTGACGTGCAAATTTCTGCTCACTAATAATTCCTTCGAAGACCAAAAGTTGTTATATGAGACTGTTGAAACCTTTATTACGCATCTATTAGCAATAATCTCTGTGTTAGAATTATATTTGGAAGTGTGTAACCAGTTCTATCAAATATGTGATAATGACTGACACCAATATTGTCCTTTAATAAACTCAAGTTAATCAATATAATTTAATAATTGAAAATCAGTTTATATTTTAAAATAATGTTGGAAAACAACATGAAAAAGTATACAATGTGTGTAGACAAATGGAATGGGTGAGTTTTTGATGTTTTTATATGTCCATGTAGCTGTGTATGGAAATAAAGACAGTTATTACCAAGTGTTGATATTTTTTTTTAATTAAAATTATATTTTAGAATTTACAGAAGATACTCATTGCTCCAAAATAGTTATACGCAGGAAACACAGCATATTAAAGTGGCATTAGATAAAGAGCTATATAATAGTTATATAAGCGGTTGTAATTCAAGATACACCTACATTTTGCACGAGGTTGATGGAGAACAAGCTAAAAAAAAAAAAAAATCGAGGGTTTAGAACATAATTGTGATAAGTCACAATGCTTGATATATTGACTTATCACAATTATGTTCTAAACCCTCGAAATGCAACTTTTGTACAATCAGGGGTCATAATTCAGGAAATTACCATCCAATAAGCACCAATATCTTTTTAAATTTAAACATATTTTAAGTTTTATCAAGATCGGATAAAAATTGTGACCTCTAAAGGGTCCACAACCTTGGTATTACATACTTTTACACTACTTGCGTACAAGTAGCAGCTATTTTGTTGGGCAGTTTCGGTCCAATTTTCATGAAATTGGAACTTGACCAACATTAGGGAGTTACAGTGATATATTTGAACATTTTTTGAATCGTTTAAAAATTGTGACCAATAGAGCAGTTCCATAAACTAAAAAAAAACACGATTTTTTGTACAATCAGGGGCCATAATCCAGGAAATTACTGTCAGATATGCGCTTATATAGAAAAGAACCAAGATCATTGGGTTATAAACATATACTAATGTCCAACAGAAAGTATACACACTAAAAATATGACTAAGTTTTGTTTAAATCAAAAAAATGCGTCCAAATTCAATATTTTTAAGCAAATAAAAGGCAAAACAAATGGACATTGTACCCAAATACCGCATACCGTATACTTTCTTTTGGACATTAGTATACATTTTAAGATTCATCAAAATCCAATAAAAATTGTGAGCTCTAGAGGGTCCAATGTTTACAATGTTTGATATATTTGAACGTTTTTTAAATATACTATTCAAAAAAAGTAGGGGATATTTGATTTTTAAGTGTTATTAAAGTCACCTAATGAAACTGACGAAGAAACAAATGACAAAATGAAATGAAGTTCACATTCATCGATTTATTCCAAATGATCGTTAGACTAAGTAAGGCACAGACTGACCATTATAAGGGTAAAATGATACCCGGGGTCAAACAGCAAAGTTACCACAGCATCACAACCAAGTCAGTAACGGGTAAATCCTCCTCTGTTTGCCAAACAAGCATTGATCCGACGTGGCATACTCCTAATGAGACGTCTAAGGTCATTTTGGTCCAGATTGTCCCATTCCTGTTGCAACGCAGCAGCAAGTTCTTGGACATTGGCAGGACGTTGTTGACGTTGACGTAACCTCTGTCCAAGCATGTCCCAGACATGCTCGATGGGGGAGAGGTCGGGACTCAGTGCTGGCCAAGGTAATGTGGTGATGTTCTGTTGTTGGAGGTAACCTGTAACGATCCTGGCCCTGTGACATCTTGCGTTGTCATCCTGGAAGATGAAACGGCGGCCATGACGTCGTGCGAACGGCACAACATGGACTGCCAAGATGTTGTCCCGGTAGTACTGGCCTGTAACACGCCCTGCAACAACATGTAAAGCCGTTCTTCCAGCAACAGTGATGCCTCCCCACACCATAACAGAACCACCCCCAAATCGATCATGTCTGATGACGTTAACGTCTTGGAAGCGCTCGTTTCGACGACGCCACACCCTCCTACGTCTGTCCAAAAAATCAACAGTGAACCTTGACTCATCTGAAAACATCACATTGCTCCAGCGTCGATTATCCCAGTGTTGACGATCCCTACACCAACGACGTCTTGCCTGAATGTGATGATCTCTCAAACAAGGGATCACGCGAGGACGTCGGGCGCGAAGGTGACCCCTATGCAGTCGATTCCGAATCGTCTGGCCACTCACTCTCACACCAGTGTCTGTTTGAAGACGAGCGCTGATCTGATTTGCTGTGATGACACGATTTCTCAAGGCCAAGGTACGGATAAATCGATCCTGGGCTTGAGTTGTCGCCCTTGGTCGACCTGAGCGTGGTCTGTCCTGTACAGATTGTGTATCACGGTATCTGGACCATAGCCTGCTTATGACAGACTGAGAAACATTCATCATCCGCGCCACAACCGCCTGTGTTGTGCCGATCTGTAGCATGCCAAGGGCACGTAACCTTTCATTTTGGGTAAGCCGACGCATATCAAAATTTGTTTTCTGGTCACTAAAACAATTAAACTGATGTTTCCACCCTGGAATTCAATGCCACAATGACTGTAACATTCAAAGTCAGAGTCGTGCAAATCTTGGGTTGGACCCCCATGATGATCCCAAGCATCACCTGCATTCCATGCGGTAGCTATTGGTGCGTTTGGGCGTCACATGTAACTGGAAATGTTTCTTCTGTTAGGTTCTATAGTGACTTTTTTCGTAATCATTTGCATATTTTAGTATTATGCCCCCAAAATCAAATATCCCCTACTTTTTTTGAATAGTATAGGATAAAAATTGTGACCTCTAGAGTGTCCACAAGCTAAGTGATTTTTCGTACAATCAGGGGGCATAATCCCCAATACATACGAATATCAAAAGGAAGCGAGAACTTTTGGAGATAAGCCAGTATTTCAAATTTCATCAACATGGATAGGAAGCGAGAACTTTTGGAGATAAGCCAGTATTTCAAGTTTCGTCCAAATCGGGACCTGTAGAAAGTCCACAAACAAATTGTGGATGTACAACAGGGGCGACGACGGCATAATACTCCACATGATAATGTGGGCGTATATAAATAGATAATGAAAGGAGAATATTTAGAAAATTTCAGTCAACTTACTTCACTCTTGAGCAAAGGAATCCGCGATATAATTATAGGCTAGCCTCGATTGTCATTTATACCGATAATACGAAAATATAATAAACAGTCTTGATTATTGTCCCCCGCTTTTCGAAGAAAGCAGGGGACTATTAAAATGGGTTCGTCCGTCTGTCTGTCTGTCTGTCTGTCCGTCTGTCTGTCCGTCACACTTTTTGGGACACAATAACTCTCTTCCTAATTGAGCTAGAATGTTCAAACTTGGTGTATGTGTTTATTAGGTCAATGCCTTGATGGAGTTCGAAGATGAGCATTTTCCGCTTAGGGTAAGCAGAGATAAGCAATTTGATTGGTTGATGCTTTGGGACACGATAACTTTTGATTGAGCTAGAATGTTCAAACTTGGTGTATGTGTTTATTAGGTCAATGCCTTGATGGAGTTCGAAGATGAGCATTTTCCGCTTAGGGTAAGCAGAGATAAGCAATTTGATTGGTTGATACTTTGGGGCACGATAACTCTCTTCCTAATTGAGCTAGAATGTTCAAACTTGGTGTATGTGTTGATTAGGTCAATGCCTTGATGGAGTTCGAAGATGAGCATTTTCCGCTTAGGGTAAGCAGAGATAAGCAATTTGATTGGTTGATGCTTTGGGACACGATAACTTTAGTTCTAATTAAGTGAGATTGATGAAACTTGGTGTATAGTTTCATTACAGTAATACCTTGACTAAGTTTGATAATGAGCATTTTCTGCTCAGGGTAAGCAGAGCGATACGCAATTTGATTGGTCGAGACTTTGGAAAACAATAACTCTCCTACTTTGATTGTCCCCCGCCTTTCGAAGAAAGCAGGGAACTATTAAAATGGGTTCGTCCGTCTGTCTGTTTGTCTGTCTGTCCGTTCCGCTTATGGTAAGCAGAAAAAACAAATTGAAAAAGAAACTATTATAAATTAATTAAATATGTAGTATGCAAAAATGAATTGACATTTAATGACAGAAAGAAAACAGTGAACTTTGCACAACTTGCAGCAAGATGGAAAATAGACCCGTTGATACAACCAAACTCTAGATCTGTAGGCATAGAGCATGTTTTCCCCTTAATATGCTATAATTATTCCATCAAAAACATTGTATGCTTAGACTATAAGTAAAGATATACTGTTTGATTGTTCAATACTTTGTAAAAGATAATTTGTGATAAATTTATATGTGTCCTCTAATTATTTTCCTATTTCGGCGGGGGACATCAGCCTCACTGTTGGCTTGTTCATCTTTACAGTAACCATGTCCAGCACAAAACGTATTTGAATCCACTAAATATCACAGGTTTCTGATAGCATTGAGAGTTGATTATGGTCTTGGTAATTTCATTGATGTCTAATTAATAATTTAGATAACATTTCAGGCCTAAAGAAAGACCTGCAATAGGCAGATTTAGCTCTTGCATAATGCATGTTTAATAATCTGTTTTTCCAAGGATAGTAAATTAGTAACATTGTCCTTAAGTCTGTTAATATCCGCTTGACTTTAAATTTATACACAGTGTTTAGGGTCATGAGACGAAGAAGCCTATTGATTTTCAACGATTTCCGACAATTACTGCCAGATTTATGGTCCTTGATCACTTTGAAAAATCTTGTGGATGCTTTAGTGACCATAATTATCATCTGATTGATTTTTATACGCCCACATGGAAATGTGGACGTATATTGCCGTCATCTGATTGATTTTTATACGCCCACAATACTGACTGCCACAGGAGACATGCTGATGTCCTAAAAAAAACTTGAGACCTATGCATTAATTCACAAAATGTGCACTGGTGTGGCCATGAATTATTATTCTATTTTTGCCAACTGTTTATTTGCAAAAACAAATTCACATTGGTAATTTTATGGGTCCACATGGACGTATTATGCCGTTGCCCCTGTATGTGTGTCGTCTACAGGCTACAATTCGTTACAGATCATCTTGAAACATTGGATATTTATAGGCTTAAAGGGACAATAACACTCTTGCTGGCTTGAAAGCTCCAGAAAATAAATAATATCTCTATCTAAGTACTAGATGTTTAAGTGTCCTACCTGTTGTGTAAATTATCCATTACATCCTATTTTACTTGTCCAGAGGGTTCGAAAATATTTTTAAATCGAAGTTTCATTTGAAAAAGTTTACGTTAGACGTTTCAAACCATGATGTTGAATTTTTCAAAATTTTTAAATAAGGTGTGTTAAGATGAAATTTGTATCATCAATTAATTGAAATATTCTGAAATAGTACAATTTGTTGACCAGAATAAAGATTGAGACATATTATTCAGTTACAACTAGAGTGGTATTGAGCCTTTAAAGGCCCTACCCACACCTCTATGGCCCTACCTTAGACCCTAAGGATGATCCATATTGTATTTGGTGGTAGTGCCACGCACAATTTTTGTCCCCCGCCTTTCGAAGAACTGCAAGGGAAAACAACTCTGTTTGGGAGATTGCAATACCTTGACTAAGTTCGATAATAAACATTTTCTGCTGAGCGATAAGCAATTTGATTGGTTGAGACTTTGGAACATGATAACTCTCATTCTAATTGAGTTAAAATGTTTAAACTTGGTGTAGGTGTTCATTAGGTGAATGCCTTGATGGAGTTCAATGATGAACATTGTCTGCTTACGGTAAGCAGGGATAAGCAATCTCATTGCTTGATATTTAGGGGCACGATAACTTTGGTTATAATGAAGTCAGAGTGATGAAACTCAGAATGTAGATTCATTATATCATTACCTTGACTAGGTTCGATGGTGCGAATTTTCTGCTTAGGCTAAGGAGTGATAAGCAATTTGATTGGTCTTGACAAGACTTTGGAACATAATATAACAACTCTGCTTTTAACTGAGGTTAAATATATTTAAACTTGATGTAAATAATAATAATTGTCTTATATAGCGCTACATTATGTCCAATGGTCATTTCTAAGCGCTGTTCAGCCACATTGTATATTATGTGAAAAGAATCTCTAGAGTATATTTATGACCACACCTTATTAAATAGATAAGTTTTTTAAGGCAGATTTAAATTCTGTAAATGTAGGTAGTTCCCGCATTATTTTTGGAAGACCATTCCAGAGAATTGCACCATTAACAGGGAAATATTTTCCACGTAGCTTAATATATTTCGGTACAGATAGTAATGTGTTATCATTCAAGGATCTAAGGTTGCGGCGTATCTGTACATCACTATACAGTGTAAACATCTTTTTCATATAGCTCGGAGCGGATATATTAAAGAGACTTTTACAATACAGTCGTTAGGATTTTATATTCAATTCGCCAATGTAATTCCTTTAGTTTGTCACTGATGTGTTCACGTTTCGGTGTTTTAGTCACTAGTCTAGCAGCATTGTTTTGTGCAACTTGCAACCTATCCAGAGAGAATTTAGCTGCTCCGGCTAGAAGAGCATTTGCATAGTCAAGTTATGAAATAACTAACGAAGTCACAGTCCTTACACAGACTAATTTGCTCAAATAACATCGGATACTTGCTATTGGTTTCATTTTAAAGTATATTTTCCTAATAATATTGTTTATTTGGGGAGTTGCAGACATAGAGTCATCCATGACATAACCTAGATGTTCATTAGTGAATGTCTTGACTGAGTTCAATGATTAACATTTCAAGCTAAAGCTAAGCAGAGTTTATCGATTTCATTGGTCGATGCTTTGGGAAGATAATCTCGATTCTATCTTATAGAGAGTGATGTAACTTAATGTATAGTTTGATTGCTCGATACTTTTGAAAAAAAATAAATGTGCGATTAATTAATATGTGTCATCTATTTATTTTGGGATTTCGGGCGGGGAACATTAGCCTCACTGTTGGCTTGTTTGTTAATATTTTGTCTGTAAATACTCTACAGGTTTCAATTATAAACATATTTTGTTCAATTTCGGCATGATAAATCATTTCAATAACAGGGTTGTACCTATTTATATGTTCAATTCCAATATTTAGTGTTATTGTCTACAGGCCACAATTCTCAATGGATCATCTTGCAATTTGGTATATTTATTCCTTATACCCTAACGATAGCAACAATTTGGCAAAACAAACCCACTGCTTTGCCATCTTTGTCTCTTGTCATATTTACAGTTCGTATAGCCATTTCATATTTCATTCTCATTATTTTAAAAAAGTACCACATCAATCAAAGCAGAGAGTGAGAGAGAGAGAGAGAGAGAGAAATGAAGTTTAACCTCAACACAAACTAGGTCATTTCAGGACTAACTCATGGTTAAATTTTATTTTAACAATTCGCTTGCACGTAGGGGTCTTTAGCAGTGAGAGGAAACCGGAGGACCGAAGAAAACCCACGAGGTTGGACAGGCGACCCTACTCCTTGTCACGTACAACTGGGGAATCAAAACCATGCCAGTTGACTCAATGACAGACCTTATGATACAGTGCGCACGTGATGGCATGTAAGAGACTGACCTTCACAAATAAACACTGAACCATGATGTAGGGGTCCAATATGTGGCCTTGTTACATGTCATATTGAGGATTGTATAATGGATGTATATCGTCTAAAATTTCATCATAACTAAAATATTTTAAGCAAATTCTGACAAAGTGTATCCACTTGAATTTAACATGTTTTTCTGCCTAAAATAAAATTAAGGGAGATAACTCATATGTTATATTTCATACCAACATGAGTTTGGTTTACTGTTTTCCTCCAGGATGAATTATGGGCCAGGGAGTTTTAGGGTTTTTTTTAAAAACGGATTTTAAATGGTGTTTTCTGGAGTATATTCTCATATTTATAGCTTATCCACAAATTTTGTGTGTGTCAATCTTACCAATTCATCAATGGCATCATAAATTCAGAACTAACCAGCGGCAGCCAGGCACATTTTGCAAGAGATGGATATAGAACAAGCTAAAAACAAAAGCGATTTTTTGTACAATCAGGGGCAATAATCCAGAAAGTTATGGCCTGAAATGTGAAATATCAAAAGGGACCAAGATCTTTGGGATATAAGATATGTTTTAATCGGATAAAAATTGTGACCTCTAGAGGGTCAACAACCTTTGTATTACACACTTCTACACAATTTGCGTACAAAGAGTGACCATTTTGTCGAGAGGGGTGGTCATTTTGTCCGTCAGTTTCAGTCCGATTTTTACGAAATTCGAAATCAACCATTCTTAGAGTGTAACAGTGATATATTCACCCATTTTTTTTAAATCAGATAAAAATTGAGACCTCTATGGGGTCCACAAGCTAAAAATGTGATTTTTCGTACAATTAGGGGCCATAATTCAGGAAGTTATGGTCCCATGTGCGCGAATATCGAAAGGAACCGAGATCTGTGGGTTATAAACATACATTTCAAGCTTAAACCAAATCTGATAAAAATTGTGACCTCTACAGTGTTCACAAGCTAAAAATGTGTTTTTCCGTACATTCAGGGGCCAAAATCCATGTGGTTACAGTCCGATACATGCCAATATCGAAAGGAACCGAAATCTTAGGGTGACAAACCTATATTTCAAGTTTTATTGAAATTGGATAAAAATTGTGACCTGTAGAGTGTTCACAAACAATTGTGGACGGACGGAAAGGGGCGACGACAATATACGTCCACATGAAAATGTGGGAGGGGATCACGTGGCTAAGTGGGTAAGACGCTGGCTCGCTAGCCTGGAGGTCGGGTGTTCGATCCCTGCATTGGCTGAGAAAGTTCATCCAGATTTTCTGGCGTGGTTCCCCCTTGTCAGTGATGAAACGAAAAACCGAGGTCCCGTGTATACATTGGAATGCACGTAAAAGATCCCTTGGCAGTTGGAATTCGATACAAGAGTAGGCGATAGTGCCCGTGCCCGGGCAAAATTTCCCACATAGCACACTGTATGGCGTATGCCCGTCTTCATTAGCCCTGTTTAGGAGCAGAACAGTAGGACGTTAAACCCCATTTCATTTCATTTCATTTGAAAATGTGGGTGTATAAAAAAGGGCCTCCAAACTATGTGAGAACATGAACTTCTTTAATCGCAGGCTTAATCTCTGTCCATCCCTGGTATTCATTCATTATTTACATATTGAACTAAGAGTTACTACTTAAATACATGTTTATTACACTATTTTACAAATACATTATTTTGTTTTTTTGATCCTTACTGACAATTTCATATCACAACGTAAGGCATTCATTATTTCTTGTTTAGCTTCATGACTTATCTGACGAATTGTTTCACCTTTTCTTCCAAGAACACTTTTCTACAATATAAATTTAATAAACACCAACTATAATCTTTTTATCCATATTATGATACCATATTTCGTAAAATACAATTGAAAAGCCAAGGGGAAGAACGATCTAAGTCACTTTTTCAACAAACCCCAGTTAATGGCACCATCTGGTAGCAAATTGTATAAGCTTTCTGTGGAACAATCAATTTCAGGTAAAAATGATCGGAGTCACATCGAACCAAGGCCCTTCTGAAATGGCCTCCCAGACAAATACGTCCATCGTACCCTTTATTTTACCTTAATTTGGCTGAAAAATTTAAGTCAGTTGTTGTACTGGTAATTATGATTCGTATTAAACATCATTTTGAAGTTGTAATTAAACTTACTCTTTGGTCTGTTCGCGTCAAGCATTCTCGTCCAAAAGTCTGTTTTGCCTTTTATGCGAAAAGACAAAAAATGTGACTTGGATCGTTCTTCCCATGGACTCTTCAATTACAAGTATTCAGAATCTTATCAATCATTTTCTTGTGAAAAGTACAGTGTTTAGAATGGTAGGCTAATATTATCATTTTCAAATCTGGTTATCTCCCAACTTGAGAGAGAGAGAGAGAAATGGGGTTTAACTTCCACTCGACACAAACTAAGTCATTTCGGGACTAACACATGGTTTAATTTTATTTCAATAATTCGCTTGCGCGTTGGGGTCTTTAGCAGTGGGATGATACTGGAGGACCCGGAGAAAACCCCTGAGGTTGGACAGGCGACCCTACTCCTTGTCACGTGCAACCGGGGATTGAAACCACACCAGTTGACTCAATGACACGCCTTATGATACAGCACGCACGTGCTAACCATTCAGCCATCCAACCCCCCTCTCCCAAACTGAACCCTGTTTAAAAGTATACTTACAATATATCTTGGATTATTAGCATCAATAGTCATTACTACATCTAATATGTCATCTTCATCAACTTCCCAATGTACAATTCTCTGTTAAAAATATTTATAAAAGTAATTTTGTTTTCATTTCAATTTTCCAATTATTGTGGAATGTTAAACGTAATTTTAACCAGCAGCTGCCAGGCAGGATAAAGAAATGAAATGAAATGAAATGAAATGGGGTTTAACGTCCTACTGTTCTGCTCCTTTGCTGGGCCAATGAAGACGGGCATACGCCATACAGTGTGTGCTATGAGGGAAATTTTCCCCAGGCACGGGCACTATCGCCTACTCATGTATTTCCACTTTCATCAAAATCGGATCAAAATTGTGACCTCTAGAGGATACACAACCTTAATTTACCAGATGTTTACACTATTTGCGTACGAGGGGCAGCCATTTTGTACCATTTTTAAATGAAACTCAACCTCAGACAAAATTACGGTGTAACGGTGATATAATCGAACGTTTTTTTAAATCGGATAAAAATTGTGACCTCTGGAGAGACCACAGGCCAAAAACGCGTTTTTTCGTACAATCAGGGGCCATAATTCAGTAAGTTACGATCCTATATGCGCGAATATCGAAAGGAAACAAGATATTTGGGTTATAAACATGCATATCAAGTTTCATCAAAATCGGATCAAAATTGTGACCTCTAGAGTGTCCACAAGCTAAAAACTTGATTTTTGGTACAATCAGGGGCCATAATCCATGAAGTTATGGTCCGATACATGCGAATATCAAAAGGAACTGATATCTTTGGGAGATAGACCTATATTTCAAGTTTCGTCGAAATCGGATAAAAATTGTGACCTGTAGAGTGTCCACACAGACAGGGGCGATGAGAATATACGTCCACATGAAAATGTGGGCGTATAAAAATATTTTGAACAATCAAAGTCAGGCTGATGACCCACGTTTCAATACAAAAATAAACCAGCGGCTGCCAGGCAGGATACGCCCACATTTTCGAGAGATGGATAGAGAACAAGCTAAAAAGAAAGTGATTTTTCCTACAATCAAGGGCCATAATTCATGAAATTACAATTCGATATGCGCAAAATCGGATAAAAATTGTGACCAATTTTCATGAAATTCGAACTCAGTCGTCCTTAGGGTGTAACGGTGATATAATAATACGTTTTTTTTAAATAGGATAAAAATTAAGACCTCTATAGGGTCCACAAGCTAAAAACATGATTTTTCGTACAATCAGGGGCCATAATTCAGGAAGTTACGGTCCGATATGCGCGAATATCGAAAGGAACCAAGATCTTTGGGTTATAAACTTACATATCAAGTTTTGACATAATTGGATAAAAATTGTGACCTCTTTAGGGTCAACAACCTTGATATACCATATTTTTACGCTATTTGAGAAGGAACGGCGGCCATTTTGTCTGTCAATTTTGGGCTGATTTTCACGAAATTCGAACTCAGTCGTCCTTAGGGTGTAACGGTGATATAATAATAATACGATTTTTTAAATCGGATAAAAATTATGACCATAATTCAGGAAGTTACGGTCCGATATGTGCGAATATCGAAAGGAACCGAGATCTTTGGGTTATAAACCTACATTTCAAGTTTCAACAAAATCGGATAAAAATTGTGACCTCTAAAGGGTCCACAAGCTAAAAACGTGATTTTTCGTACAAACAGGGGCCATAATACATGAAGTTTCGTACAAACAGGGGCCATAATCCATGAAGTTTCGATCCGATACATGCCAATATCGAAAGCAGCCAAGATCTTTTGGAGATAAACCTATATTTCAAGTTTCGTCAAAATCGGATAAGAATTGTGACCTGTAGAGTGTCCACAAACAAATTGTGGACGGAGGGACAGGGGTGACGGCATAATACTCCACATGAAAATGTGGGCTATAATGACACATTAATTGATGGCACATCTAATTTTTTGTAAATAATGAAGCAATGGAAATGGAAGTGAAATGGGGGTTTAACGTCCTACTGTTCTGCTTCGACTAGGCTAATGAAGGCCGGCATACGCCACACAGTGTGCTATAAGCGAAATTTTGCCCAGACATCGGCACTACGGCCTACTCATATCGAATTCCAACTGCCTAGGGATCTTTTACGTGCACGCCAAGGTGTACACAGGACCTTTCTGAACGACTAGACAGCTATCCTTTCAAGGCCCTCAGTACTGCACCACTGGCAAGTGAAAACCATGCTGGAGAATCCTGATGAACCTTCTCAGCCAACACCAGGAGTAAACCCACGACCTCCAGGCTAGCGAGCCAGCATTTTACTCACTTAGCCACCGTGGCTCCAATGACGCAATGGACCAGCTATTCTACACTTAACCTAAGCGGAAAATACTGATGAGCGAACTTAATTTTGTTTTAAAAGTTATACTTACTGGATACATTTGATAAGGAATTTCTTTTGGTAAATAATCCAATAATTTCTCCCAAACACATGACATGGCTAATTCTTGTGGATTCTGGTCTGTAACAAGACTACTATGATAATGCCAATCTCCCGGTTTTGCTGTTTTCACAAAATACTCCTAGAAATCAAAATTTGTTTTTTTTTTTAGCTGAAATTTGGCAAAATTACACCCATGGATGAAGTATTAAAGTTACATATGACTTTACATTTTTTGTTAATATTTTTATTGAATAGTCTTGTTCTTAATTTCTAGTTGTCCCCAATTTCTAGTTTATTATAAAATTTATTTATTGAATCAGTTCAGTATTTTTTAAAGAACCATAAATCAGTTTTAACTACACTCTACATTTCAAATCTGATTTTCTTGTTACAGCATCTTCCTGTTGATTGGCAAAACAAACATAAAAAGTTTTATAAAAATAAAGCTTGAATGAACCAAGAGTTGTGCTAACAACCTATTTATAACTTTCATCTACACATTTCAAATCATTCTTGTCATATTCACTAATATTAACCCACTTGAAACATATATCAATGTAGACTTGAAACAGCCATTAGCTTTTATAAGATATTGATAGAATTTACCTCTCTGAAAAGAAAGCTCATGAGGAGAAGTTTCAAAAACTTTCAGGTTTTAAACATATTACTTGGGTCCACAAGCTAAAAACGTGATTCTTGTACAATCAGGGACCACAATCCAGTAAATTACGGTCTGATATGCGCATATGGCGAAAGGAACTAAGATCTTTGGGATAAACAAATATTTCAAGTTTCATCAAAATCTGATAATAATTGTGACTTCTAGAGGGTCCAGAAAATTGGTATGACATACTTTTACACTATTTGCATACAAGGAGCTGCCATTTTGTCAGTCAGTTTTGGTCAGATTTTCACGAAATTCGAACTCAACTGTCATTAGGGTGTAACAGTGATAAATTTAAACGTTTTTTTAAAATAGGGTAAAAATTTAGAGGTTCCACAATCTAAAAACGTTATTTTGCGTACAATCGGGGGCGATAATCCAGGAAGTTACTATCCAATATGCGCAAATATTAAAAAGAACCATGATCTTTGGATTATAAACATACATTTCAAGTTTCATCAAAATCGGATAAAAATTGTGACTTCTAGAGTTTCCACCACCTTGGTATTACATACTTTTAGACTATTTTCATACAAGGAGCTGCCATTTTGTCTGGCAGTTTCTCTAAGATTTTTAAAAAATTTGAGCTTATTGATGTGTAATGGTGATATATTTAAACAGTTTTGAAAATTGAATACAAATTGTAATTTCTAGTGGGTCCATAAGCTTAAAATGCGATCTTTCAAACAATCGGGGGTCATAATCTGAGAAGTTACTTCAGATATGCGCGATTATCGAAAGGGACCAAGACCTTTGTGATATAAACATAAATTTAAAGTTTCATCAAAATCAGATAAAAACTGAGGCCTCTTGAGGGTCCACAACAGTGATGGGATTTCAAAATTTTTCTTGTCGGACATTTTACTGAAAATAAAGGGGCATAACTCTTATCGTTATTTAAGCAGACGAATTCGTACCGGACCACAATTAAAAGTCACATGTCAAAATATTCAAATCCCGTACGTAATAAAAATAGGTGAACCTCGCTATTTTTCATATTTAATTCCTGTACAGTATTCAATTCATACCACAATTAAAAATCACATGTCAACAAAATATTCAAATCCCGTACGTAATAAAAATTGGTGACCTCGCTATTTCTCACACTTAATTCCCGTACGGCATTCAAATTTATATCGGTAAATGTCCTACAAAATTAAACATTTTCGTAATATGTTGAATGAAAGCTTGCCCATCCTGCTTCGGCATCAAATTCACAACCATAATATTCCTTTAGAATTACGTGTCTTCGTTTATACGGCAGCAAATAAATGCAGAACTTCCGAAATAGTTAAATCACTTGTAAGTAAACTGGCATAGCTAACTTCAGCGAATAACACTCTTTCATAGTCACGACAGAGTGACAGGCATCATAGGCAAGACAGCAGAATGATTGACATGCTTCTTAATTCCCGCCTACAAATACGTTAGAATTTCTGCTCATATAGCTATTGGTAGCTCTTCCCCTTTTTGTTATTTTGCTGGGTGCGGTATAGCATCAACCAACTTCAGCGTACAGCGTACCAGTCTCGGTCACCCAGAAACTCCTAGTCTTCAACATATTCGTAGAATATTTTTCTGGATAATAGAGACTAATAGCCTACGTGACTCACATCACACAGCTTCATAGTAAGCACTGCCTAATAATATTCGCGCCGCGCTCGAGATCAAGGGAAAGATCCAATGTGGATGAGAATTTCTATATGGATTCTTAAAAGACGTACTGATATCGTGACAAAGTGACTGTCCATTGATTTAGGGTGTTATATACTCTTACGATATGTGACATCTATGATTAGTTTATTATAGATGCTGTCGGCTCACATCAATGCGATTAAGATGCCCGACAATTGAGAAACCACGAGGTAAACAGGTTGATTAAAATTATAATCATTCTTATTGAATTGACGATTAGTCCGACAAAAGGAAAGCAATGACTTCTGTTTAAGATTAGATTGATGAATTGTCCAACAAAGGATTAAGTCAGTCAATCAAGGCAGATTAAGTAGTTCATCAAGGTAGGTTTATAGACGGTATAACACGATAAATACGTTGATCACTTAATTACCTAATAAACCCAGCGTATTATCGACGATACACTTTTTCCCGGTCGGACAATTTTGGGCGTTTGGAAAAAAGATTCGGACAAGTCCGGAATATACAGGCAAAATCCCATCACTGGTCCACTACCTTGTAATACCATTTTTTTACATTATTTGCATACAAGGGGCGGTCATTTTGTATGACAGTTTTGGTCTGATTTTTACAAAATTTGTAAAGAATTATCTTGTGTGTAACGGTGATATATTCACACCTTTTTTTAAATCGGATAAAAATCTTGACCTCTAAAGGGACCACATGCTAAAAACATGATTTTTCGTACCATCAAGGCCCATAATCCATGAAGTTATGGTCCAATACATGTCAATATCGAAAGGAACCAAGATTTTTGGGAGATATATTTCAAGTTTCGTCAAAATCAGATAAAAATTATGGATGGATGGACAGATTTCTCCAAGTTCTATGAATATTTTTTAAAATGATGTTACTAAAATGATATTTTGTAAAAAATCGTTATCTAGCTTAAGTGTATGTATTTCACTCCCTGAAATACCAATTGGCTGGGTAAATAAAAATTTCACTGTAAATTTATTACATGTATAATTTACCTTTAATCTCTGGACCCCATCTCCATGATAAGCAGATATCATGAAAATTTCACTGAATTCTTTCCAACCTTTCATATCTTGTATTTCATTTTTTATGTCTTGTGGTGTAACTTGATTATTCTCCATGGATTTCTGGATAACAGCTTCAACGTCCGGGTCCAAACCTACAGATAATTGGAGGATTCTGTAACGAACATCTTCATCTACAGTTTTATTTTCATTGTTTTTCTTCATTCGAGCCTCATCCCGTTTTTCGCGGAATTCATGTATTTTTTGTTTACTTTGTTCTAAATATAAGTTCAGTTTTCTTTCAGGAATCTTGTGAGAAGTTTCATTATTACCTTCGTAATCATCATAATCATCATACCCATCATATTCATCTGTATAAATATCATATCATAATTTATATTATCATATCTAAACAGTATGCCCACATTCTACATTCCTAATTTTCTTTGATGACTGACAGATAAAGACATTCATCTAACTATTATTTAATCAGCTAATAACTAAGTGAACAGTTTAATCAAAATTTTTACATGTTAAATGGTACACTTTTCGTTTTTATTTTTAGAAATGGTAATAACAAGATTTTTTGAAGTAATCAAAGGCCATAACTCTGGCAGTAATGATCAGGAATCGCTGAAAATCAATAAGCTTCTTCATCTCATGACCTTAAACCTGTGTCCAAATTTAAAGTCAATTGGATATTAACTTTGGCCTCTAGTGCGTCCACAAGATTTTTTGAAGTGATCAAGGGTCATAACTCTGGCAGCAATTATCGGAAATCGCTGAAAATCAATAGGCTTCTTCGTCTCATGACCTTAAACACTGTGTATAAATTTATAGTCAATCAGATATTAACTTTAGCCTCTAGATCGTCCACAAGCGATTGTGGACGCTGGCCGGGGGCGACAACAATATACGTCCACATTTCAATGTGGGCGTATAAAAATGGGCATCTGCCGGGGTCCAGTTTATGGGTGTGGCCCTGGTGGCCCTGGTGGCCCCTAGAATGACCCCCAAAATGTGTTATACTCATACATTTGAGGTACCGATTGAAACCAATTTGAAATGAAACAAGCCAACAGTGAGGCTGATGTCCCCCGCCGAAATCACCAAATAAATAGATGACACATATTAATTAATCGTACAGCTATTTTTTTTTCAAAAGTATCGAGCAATCAAACTGATTATCAAATATACACAAAGTTTCATCACTCTATCAGATAGAATCAAAGTTATCTTGTCCCAAATCATCGACCAAGGAAATTGCTTATCTCTGCTTAGCTTTAGCTCGATATGTTAATCATTGAACTCAGTCAAGACGAACATCTACATCAAGTTTAAACATTCTACCTCAATTAGAAGCAGAGAGTTGTTATGTTCCAAAGTCTTGACCAATCAAAATGCTTATTGCTCCTTGGCCTAAGCAGACAATTCTCATCATCGAACTTGGTCAAGGTATTGATGTAATGAAACTATACACCAAGTTTCATCACTCTCACTTAATTAGAACTCAAGTTATCGTGTCCCAAAGCATCAACCAATCAAATTGCTTATCTTTGCTTACCCTGAGCAGAAAATGCTCATCTTCACACTCCATCAAGGCATTTTCCTAATATACACCTACACCAAGTTTGAACATTTTAGCTCAATTAGGAGATTTATTGTGTTCCAAAGTCTCGGCCAATCAAATTGCTTACCCTGAGCAGAAAATGCTCCTTATCGAACTTAGTCAAGGTATTGATGTAATGAAACTATACACAAAGTTTTATCACTCTCACTTAATTAGAACTAAAGTTATCGTGTCCCAAAGCATCAACCAATCAAATTGCTTAACTCCGCTTACCCTAAGCAGAAAATGCTCATCTTCAAACTCCATCAAGGCATTGACCTAATAAACACCTACACCAAGTTTGAACATTCTAGGTCAATTAGAAGGAGAGTTATTGTGTCCCAAAAAGTGTGACGGACAGACAGACAGACGGACGAACCCATTTTAATAGTCCCCTGCTTTCTTCGAAAGGCGGGGGACAAAAAGCATTTTATACATCCATATTACATTACTATGTTCAGTTTGGACTGTTCACGTATATCAATCAAAAAAATTAATTAGAAATTCTAAAAATTATTTTATACATTCATATTAAATTACTATGTGCTTTTGGACCTATTTTCGTCTACGATTTCATAGAATAGAGCTATGCCATGCACCCTTTAAATAAAGACATTCGTTTCCGTAGTATTAAGGGTAAATGAAGATAACAAGCCAACAGTGAGGCTGATGTCCCCCGCCGAAATAGGAAAATAATTAGAGGACACATATAAATTTATCACAAATTATCTTTTACAAAGTATTGAACAATCAAACAGTATATCTTTACTTATAGTCTAAGCATACAATGTTTTTGATGGAATAATTATAGCATATTAAGGGGAAAACATGCTCTATGCCTACAGATCTAGAGTTTGGTTGTATCAACGGGTCTATTTTCCATCTTGCTGCAAGTTGTGCAAAGTTCACTGTTTTCTTTCTGTCATTAAATGTCAATTCATTATTGCATAAGTTATCGTGTCCCAAAGCATCAACCAATCAAATGACTTATGTCGGCTTAGCCTGCGCAGAAAAGGTTCATCTAATTAGAACTAAAGTTATCGTGCCCCAAAGCATCAACCAATCAAATAGCTTATCTCGGCCTATGCAGAAAATGCTCATTATCGAGGTATTCATGTAATGAAACTATAAACCAAGTTTGATCACTCTCACTTAATTAGAACTAAAGTTATCGTGTCCCAAAGCATCAACCAATCAAATGACTTATGTCGGCTTAGCCTGCGCAGAAAAGGTTCATCTTCGAACTCCATCTAGGCATTGACCTAATAAAGGCCTACACCAAGTTTGAACCTTCTACCTCAATTGGGAGGAGAGTTATTGTGTCCCAAAAAGTGTGACGGACAGACAGACAAACAGACAGACGGACGAACCCATTTTAATAGTCCCCTGCTTTCTTCGAAAGGCGGGGGACAATAAGCATACACACCAATTTTGAACATTTTAACTCAATTTGAAGGAGTGTGACGGACAGACAGACAAACAGACGACGGACGAACCCATTTTAATAGTCCCCTGCTTTCTTCGAAAGGCGGGGGACAATAAGCATACACACCAATTTTGAACAATTTTGAAGGAGAGTTATTGTGTTCCAAAGTCTCAGCAAATCAAATTGCTTATCGCTCTGCTTAATCTGAGCAGAAAATGCTCATTATCGATCTTAGTCAAGGTATTACTGTAATGAAACTATACACCAAGTTTCATCACTCTCACTTAATTAGAACTAAAGTTATAGTGTCCCAAAGCATCAACCAATCAAATTGTTTATCTACTTAATTAGAACTAAAGTTATAGTGTCCCAAAGCATCAACCAATCAAATTGTTTATCTCTGCTTACCCTAAGCGGAACGGACAGACAAACAGACAGACGGACGAACCCATTTTAATAGTTCCCTGCTTTCTTCGAAAGGCGGGGGACAATAAGCATGAACATTTACTCAATTCGAAGATCAACCAATCAAATTGTTTATCTCTGCTTACCATAAGCGGAACAGACAGACAGACAAACAGACAGACGGACGAACCCATTTTAATAGTTCCCTGCTTTCTTCGAAAGGCGGGGGACAATCAAAGTAGGAGAGTTATTGTTTTCCAAAGTCTCGACCAATCAAATTGCGTATCGCTCTGCTTACCCTGAGCAGAAAATGCTCAATTATCAAACTTAGTCAAGGTATTACTGTAATGAAACTATACACCAAGTTTCATCAATCTCACTTAATTAGAACTAAAGTTATCGTGTCCCAAAGCATCAACCAATCAAATTGCTTATCTCTGCTTACCCTAAGCGGAAAATGCTCATCTTCGAACTCCATCAAGGCATTGACCTAATAAACACATACACCAAGTTTGAACATTCTAGCTCAATTAGGAAGAGAGTTATTGTGTCCCAAAAAGTGTGACGGACAGACAGACGGACGGACAGACAGACAGACGGACGAACCCATTTTAATAGTCCCCTGCTTTCTTCGAAAGGCGGGGGACAATAAAGAGCATATCTCTCTAGGCACGAAACTGCCCATAACAGACAACTTTGGCCCTGGCATGGCCCAAACTGACACCCTAAAAATGGGTTATACTCATACATTCGAGGTACCGGTTAAAACCAATTCTAAATGAAAGAGTACAGCTCACTGAGTACGAAATTGCCCATAACAGACGATTGTGGCCCTGGGACGGCCCAAACTGACATCCTAAATTTCAAACCCCAGGGCTTAAAAAATGGTTATATTCATAGATGCGAGGTACCAGTTGAAACTAATTTTAAATGAAAGTGTACACCCCACAGATCATCCCCCCCCACACTCTTACACACATTCTCTTTAAGTTATCTATGGCTCAGGTTAGTTGGTTTCCCATTAATAGTGTTAAATATCAATAGGATCCCCCACCCCCACCTTTTAATTCCTCTATATTCGAGGTATCAGTTGAAACTAATTTTACAGATTGGGCACCTTGGGATGGCCAAAACTGAAACCTCAAAGCTGAGGGGGTCCAAAAATGAGTTATACTCATATATTTGAAGTACCAGTCAAAACCAATTTTAAATGAAAGAGTACAACACTTAATACTGAGAAGGTTCAACCACACATGAGCCCAAAGCTTCAAACAAAATTTGAAACAAATCTGTTCTAATCTCTGGTCTTGATCTCGGAAAGGGGGAACTGGAACTCTGGAACATAATGGTGTGGAATGCTGGATATCGATCGGGTTCATGACCATAATGTTTCACACCGAATTTAAAAAAAATATGTTACAAACTTTAACTTGCCGCATTCACAAGGTACTCTGGAACAGAATATTGCAGAACACTGAATATCGATAGGGTTCATTTTGTCCAATGTTTTACTGTAGCCTACATCGCCTACGAAATAATTGTTGTTAGACCGACGGACAGGGTGAAGATATAATACACCTACACTGAAACTAAGGTTTTCGGAAAAGGCAGCAACCATGGAACAGAAGTTTGCGAAACTGTGAATTTCAATAGGGTAAGTTCTACATTGATAGGGTTTTCTTATTACTTGATAAGAAATATAAAACCCAAAGAAAAACAGACACCTCGGTGGATACAGATATTAAGCCCCATGAACAAATGAACGAATAAACACCCTGATCTAAATTTCTATTTCAAATTAGGTCATCGCCTCTTAAAGATTATGGTTCTTGGTATGGCAGAAGATCAGATGATTGTAATAATACCAAGAGAAATGAAATCGGGTTTAACGTCCAATTTCATTACCATGAGATATTTAGAATGTGTACATAGTATACCTTGATAACTCTGTTTTATGACAACTTGATCATGTTCATATCGGTCTAAAATATTCTTTAAATTCATCTTTTCATCTGTTTTCTTGCTTCCTATGTTCAATGGCTGTCCACCACAATAGCCACCTGTTAATTTTCTGACTATTCCCAGTAGGACACCCTTATGTTTGACTAGATCAATCTAATAAGAAAAACAACAACAAAAACAAAATTATTGTATTTTTCAAAATGTTATTATTTGATATAAGTTATGGTCCGATATGGCTACTATCGGTTTTACCGATATCAGATATTGACAGCGAAATATATTGGTCGATACAGTCCATATATTAGTACAGTGCACTCTGTCACATCCGACATTGTACGGGATCGTTACAATATGTCGGATTACGCAGAGTGTCGGTATATCCAGTTTTCTCAAACCCGGAAAAATTGGAACTTATAATGTAGCTTCGAAAATAGAACTTTGAATCACCAGAAGGTTATTCCCTTTAAAAATGATAAACCTTTCTGTACATTCAAAATTATATTACATTAATTTTTATTTCATTTAACATGCGTAGGCATTTTGAATAGGTCAAGTCTGTCGTTAATTTATCTTCTTCGCCGTCTTAAGTTAATCGCACTCTTGTCTTTGCTATCACGTGTTCATTGATAATTGGGAATTGAATTCTCTCAATCCGAAAAATATTGACAATCGAGTGAAAATGGGTACTTCGGGCTACAACGCATGCGTCGACTGGATATATAAATATCTCATCCAACCATGCAGCCGAAACCTTTTCGTCGTGTTAAATTACGTCACAATTATTCTACTCACACCACCTCCGTCTTCGGGACTAACAGAACTGTGACAGGACTGACTTCCGCATCACTCGATTGCAATTCTGTCAATTTGGGACGTTTCGGACTGTGAATCGAGCATCGTCACACGGTTCGAAGACATCTGTAGGGTGACCAAACTTATAGGTTATTCAGGTTCAATCGACATGCGCAACGAATGTTTCCAACAGGTGCGAGGAATATTTTTACGACTGTGAATTCGGGGGAAAGTTCGTGAATATTCTTGAGTATTTGTCACAACTGTCGTACAAGAGATTAAAATTATCAAAGTAATCAACAAAGACCCACGGTAGCGACTTTTAATCTCACAGATAATTGATTGGTGATTGCTTGTTAATCTTTCGTGGTTTCACACCCATCTAGTTTTAATCTCACGGATAATTGATCGGTAAGTGTTTGCTTCACACCCACCGATTGAAAGCTGGATTATACGGTGTCGATTCAATGGAAATCGTATGACGGGACGGCGGATTGATGTCGTAAACCGGAACGTACAGAGGTCGAATTACCCAGAGATTTTTTGGCTGAAGTAATAAGGAAATAAATCGGGACATGAAAATGGTGTCGGATGTAACAGAGTGCCGGAGTGATTAGAGGTCGAATGTGACAGAGTGCACTGTATATTATAACTTTTATGGGAATAACTTCTGTTAATCTCACCAATAAATTAGCACCTTAGTGCTCAGGAGACAAAGAAGCTACCGCAGCTATACTTGTGTACTGTTATCTTTGTCACATGACTGAATTGTGTAGATAATAGGTCTACTTTTATTTTCCGGTACCGTAATGGTATCAGAATCTGATAGGTCACCAGATAGGTCAAAAGTCAAAAAAATTCAAAGTGAAACTGGAAGTACACAAAATTGAAATTCAACAAGAGCATCGCTAACGCTGCAATATACGTCTACATTCCTGCTTTGATTGATATGGTACTTTTTAAAATGAAAAGAATAAAATATGAAATGGCTGTAATATGACAAGAGGCAAAGAAGGCTAGGCATTGGGTTTGTTTTGCCAAATTTACAGACAACATATCAACAATAAAAAGGTTGCTATCCTTACAGTTTAGGAATAAATATGCCAAGTTCCAAGATGATCCATTTAGAATTCTATCTTGTAGACAAAAAACACAAAAATTGGGCGTGGCTCTGCCCCTGGAGATTGGTCATAAATAAATCCGTCCAGATAATATATATATAGGTATTAATAAATGCAACCTGTATATCATTTACAGACAAAATATTAACAAAAAGTGGGTGTGGCACCACCGAATATCAAAAAGATGCTGAAGAAAACTTTCGCAAATCTTTGATGCTAGAACTAATTGAGCGAACTTCCGAATATCTAAAAACTGTTGGTCCGAGACCATATGAGATTTGTCCAAAGAATCCAAAAATGAAAACCTGACGAAGATCTGTTGAGAAATAAACGAGATAGAGATATGGGCAATCTGAGATTAATTTTTGTCCCATCCGTAAAACACTTCCTGTTTGTCAGAAATGACCCAATTTAAAATTAACTAGACCTGCAAGCAGCACTGAAACGGCTTTCAGGAATCAGACAGGAAGTGTGTCATACAATAGCCCATTTATCGAGTTACCAAACGATACTTTAGATGTTTTGATCCGGTCACACCCAACGGTGAAATCCCGATTGTTGCAAGAGCACCGATTTTTTTACTGTGGCCCTTTTGGACAATTTATACTATATTGAGGCTTTTAAATTTGGATTCACACCATAGACCACCGTTAGGACTCTAAGTAAAAGAAGTAAAAGAAAGGAAATAAGAGAAATTTTCGAGATAAAAGCGTCTGAATGGGCTCCAAAAAGGAAAATAATAGATTTTCAGCGTTTCTTTATATATTGCCTAACCCGCGAATTTTTACCATTTAGATGTCATATCGGATAATTCTTCGACTACTTCCGGTTTTTGGATCATTGTCGGGATAGTTTTAACAAGTTGTTTGGTTACCTAACCTTCTGTACAAGAAGTTTCAGAAAAATCCATTAGCTGTTTTCCAAAGGAAGAAAAATAGAAGAGCATTTTCATCAAATTTAAGGATTTTTCAACTTTTTTCCAAGATTGAGGCTCTTTTTGGACCACTTATATTATTTCGATGCTTTTATTTTTGGACTCACGCCATAGTCCACCGATAGCACTCTGAGTAAAAGAAGCTTAAGAAAAATCGTAGTTTTCGTTTTCGAGATTATGCCGTCTCAAAATGCTCCAAAACGGAAAATACTAGATTTTCAGCGTACCATAATTTATTTTCTAGCCATCTAAATCGTATCATTCAGATGTCATATGATAGTCCATTAATGGGGCTATCCAGCGATACTTTAGTTCTTTTGGTCTGCTAACATCTGATGGAGAAATCAAGTTTTTCGCTAGAGCGCTATTTTTTAAAACCTTTTTTCTCCATTTTTTGCATACTTCCGGTATGGAGATTATTGTCGGGATAGTTTTAATAACCGGATTGGCTTATCAAATAGCCACAGGGCTATGTAATGATATATTACATTGTCTGATCAGATAAAATGCCCCTAGGAAATCCTATGTTCAATAGTGCCAAAAATGCAAAAATGTCAATATATCGAAAATAAAATTTAAATATTTCAATACATATTATACATCGTTAGAATCATAATTACGTCAGCTATCTGAATATGTAACTTTTTTGTAATTTTTTTTTTAAATAATAAAGAAATAGAGCATTTTCCAAAATTTCACGATTTTTCAACTTTTTTCGATTTTCAGTACGTTATTTTACCTATTCCAGAAATTTCAATGTCTTATTGGATGGATTCATGCACAAGACTACCGGAGGGACTCTCGATAGGGAAAGTTTAAAAAAAATCCTTGGAGCAGTTTTCGAGATACAGGCGTCCAAAAACGCTCCAAATCATAAAATACCTGATCTTCAGCATGTCATATTTTGCTGCCCTCTCATAGGATCCGTGTGAAATGGGTATCATATGACAGTCAAATCCCCGGGCTACCCAACGATACCTTAATTTCTTTAATCCGTTGATATCGGGTGAAGAAATCATGTTTTTCCCAAAAGCACCCATTTTTTGCGTTTTCTTCAAAATATCGGACATTTTTTCGACCACTTCCGGTTTAAGGATTCTTGTCGAAATAGTTTTATCAGTTGGTTTTGGACTATAACTTCATGTTCCATAAGTTTCAGAAACGTCAATTCGGCCGTAAAACGAAATTCGGGCACACAAAATTCGAAAACTAAAGGGTGATAACTCTGAATGAAAGTTATATTACTGGAATCGGATTGCCTTCAGGTATCCAAAAATGTAGGTCAAATTTGAAAATTTTGAAAAATTACAAAAATTGTCTCCTAAGAAAACGTATTTTCAAATTCCGAACGACAAAAGCCATAGATGAATGTTCGAAATTGAAAAATGTGAGATATCCATTGTCTCGGAAGAGATTCTAGGTTTCCAAAAATGTGAATTGTTTTAAAATTGGTAAAAAATTGGCGAAACCACGGCCGATTTTTGATTTATTGCTACCGTTCAAAATTCGACCACTTCCGGTCTGCGCAGAAGTTTCAAAAATACTTTTTCGAGTAACCACCACATGGTTTCCCGAGAGAAAATTGAACCCCAGATCGATATCTGTTTTCGATCATGGAGAAAAAGGCTCCCGCGGTAAATAATAATAATAATAATAATAATAATAATAATTTTAGTAATCTCAATGTTTGCACCATGTACAGTTTTGGCTGCACAAACTGACTAAATTCCCTCTCCCCCCGCCCAAAACATAAAAAAAACACTCACAGAAACAATACTTGTTTAGACCGAAGGTCCGAAACACGTAATTAGGCATGCTTGTATATTTTACATGCCGTATGAAGCCACAGCAAACGGAGTTCAACTATCGACGAAACAACATATCAAATAATCACCCCTTTATTAGTTATTCGGAGTAAATGTTGACTTGGAAAAGGCTTTATATATATATATCATTGGCAATGATCAATATCCATGACAATTATTACTCAATGACACGATCCAGATTTTCAGCTGGTTGATTAATTTATAGCACGCCGCTACATGGTTTTTGGTTGACACTCAAAGGCAATCTATATACATTATCGCCAAAATCAAATTTTTATCACCACTTTCATATTTTTTATTACAAATTGCAACCGGACAGTGTGAGCTCAGAATGCAGCATTGATACCACAATGCACCGCGCGGGTATCTGGGCAAAGTATATTCACATATTGTATGGATTTTAAAACTTGTTTGTATTCATTGAAAATGGAATTATCAGTAACACTCTGGCAATATTTAGAAACTAGAGATTCATGTTTCATAATGACACATATTAATTAAATTGCACATTTATCTTTTTCAAAAGTACTGAGCTATCAAACTGATTATCAACTATACACTACGTTTCATCAATCTCCATGATTTTAAAAGTACTGAGCTATCAAACTGACTATCAACTATACGCTACGTTTCATCAATCTCCATGAGTTAGAATCAATCAAAGTTCAAAGTTATTTTGCCCCAAAGCATCGACTAATGAAATTGGTCACATGTACCTCTGCTTAGCCTTAGCGGGAAATGTTAATCATTGACCTCAGTCAAGACATTCATCTGATGAACACCTGCAACAAGTTTGCACATTCTACCTCATGATCAATTAGGAGGAGTTATTGTGTTCCAAGTCGTGACCAATCAAACTGCTTATCACTCTACTTACCCTGAGCAGAAAATTCTCATTATCGAACTTAGTCAAAGGTATTGATGTTATCAAACTATACACCATTTTTCATCACTCACTTAATTAGAACTAAAGTTCTCGTGTCCCAAACCATAAACCAATCAAATTACTTATCTCTGCTTAATGTAAGCAGACAATGTTTATCTTTTAAATCCATCAAGGCATTCACCTAATAAACATCTACACCAAGTGTGAACATTCAAGCTCAATTAGAAGGGGAGTTATTGTGTTCCAAGTCGTGACCAATCAAATTGCTTATCGCTCTGCTGACCCTGAGCAGAAAATGCTCATTATCAAACTTAGTCAAGTTATTGATGTAATGAAACTATACACCAAGTTTCATCACTCTCACTTAATTAGAACTAAAGTTATCGTATCCGACAGCATTAAACAATCAAATTGCTTATCTCTGCTTACACTATACAGAAAATGCTCATCTTCGAACTCCATCAAGCCATTAATATAATAACCACCTATACCAAGTTTGAACATTCTAGCTCAATTAGGAGAGTTATTGAGGCCCAAAAAGTGTGACAGACGGACAGACAGACCCTTTTTGATAGTACCCTGCATTCTTAGAAAGGCAGGGGACAAAAAGAAAGATTTAAGAATATGGTACTCTTACAAAACGTCCAAATAAAGGTGTTTTAAAATGCTTTATTGCTATTTTGATCTTTTGGGTCGATAAGACTCATTTTTGTGAAAATCTCAATTTCGATCAAAATCAATATTTTCACTTGTTTTGTCATTAGCTCATTATTAGACTTTGCGCTTTCTGTCTCATTTTGCCAGCATGGGTCACATATCATGAATTAATCAAGTATGATCTATATTATGAGTTAGTAAATGTAAATAATGATACAAATTATGTCTATATTTGTTTAATGTATGATCTATATTATGAATTATTAAAAGTACATAATGATACAAATAACTAAATTATGTCAAAATTTTTATCAACATCTATAAGCCTGTATGTTGGATGTAGTTTTGAGAGTAATCACGTGACATCAAAGGGACAGCCAAGGGTTAGACACACCCCTCTCCCCTTCAGCCTAGTCATGCGTAACTAAAGCGATATTTTCCCACATTTTTTAAAACCTCCTACGACAGTGTGCAGACAACACAAGTAGTAAATTGACGTAAAGTAGTAAGATTTGGAACTATTTCATGATCAGTGACAGTGATCAATGGAGGACCATTGTTTATTACATTGTTTATAAATTTGTTAGTACTTATCAGAAACAATACTGATACCAATTTCTACCAATATGCCATTTATCGGCCAATTACCGATGTTGAAACCGATCATCTGACCATCACTATTTGATATAGTCACAGATAGGAAATGAAATGGTGTTTAACATTCCACTGTTCTGCTCCGATTGGGCTAATGAAGATAGTCATACGCCATACAGTGTGCTATGAGGGAAGTTTTTTAAACAGTGGCACAGCGGCCTACTCTTGAATATTGAATTCTAACAGCCAAGGGTTCTTTTCGTGTGCACACCAGTGTGAAAACAGGACCTTGTTTTTTTTAACAACTATAGAATGTCCCTTGCCTGGCCTTCTGTCGAGCACCGCTGACAGTGGGGAACAACGTCGAAAATTCTGATTAACTTTCTCAGCCTACACCGCGATCGAACACAGTTAGCGAGCCAACATAGTACTCTCTGAGCCACGATATAGTAACAACATCTACAGTTTCTGTTAATTAGTTTATGATTAGTATTTTATATGAGACCAATAGTAGAACTATTTACCAAAAGAAACACATCAATACAGATCACATGAGTAACATGAAAAATGAGCAACCAGCACCACAGATAAATCCACTTCAAAATTTTACAAATGGCAACAGTCCAAAAAGGACAAAAAAAGGACATAATTCCTAATCATTACAATCCCGGCCCCCCCCCCCCAAACCAAAGAAATGGAGATCCTCATCCTATACAAGTTTCCTGGAAGTTTCTCAAAAACTGACAAAAAGTGTGGAACAACCAATAGACAGAAAGGGTGTTCGTAATATAACTCCACATTACCATATGGGCTGGACATCCAAAATTCTCATCATCAAACTCAGTTAAGAGTTATTGTGTCTTAAAAGTCTCAACCAATGAATTTGCTTATCTCTCCTTAGCCTAAGCACAAAATGTTCATCATTGTGTACCCAAAAAGACAGACAAATCCATTTTAGTAGTCCCCTGCTTTCTTTGAAAGGTGGAGGACTATATTAGATTGCTATTGTAAAGTAATGTCTAAATGATCCTATATATAACTGATCTCTGTAAATAGTGTTAATAGACCTACCTTATTTAATATAAGAATAGAAGGTAATTGTTTATTCAGATGTAAAAGATGTAATATTCTGGAATCTAGTTGGTGTCTGGTCCATGTATTTGATATATCTATCATAACTGCAACTAAATATAAAACACAAAACGCTGTACTCAATAGAAATTGTTTTATACAAAAATTTCTTCAACAATATATTCCTTCAAGGTTAACTAGGTCATCTACACTGATAGGCCGAGAAGCGGATGTTATTCAGTCAATAATTAAAAACTTTTAAAAGATAGCACAAGCGTACAGCCAAATCTATCCGAAACATGACTTTTGCACAAGATGTATCTAAAAAGTTTATTTTGGAATTGATCTTGGGTCCCAATCAGCCAATGAACCAACAATTATGCACAAAACATGATTGTACCATAAGTTGGTCCATCTTATCCTTTAAAAATTATTTTAAACTCACTTTATGACAAATTTATGACCAGGAAAAACTGAATTATAAACTGACCAAAGCTTACAATAAATAAAATAACAAAGGCATACTATGGGTAATGAAATGAAAAATATTTCAAAATCTCAGAATAGTCGTATTGTAGTAGAGTGAATTTCAGTTAAATCTAAACAATTATTATACTCAACATTAATAAATAAATGGATAATCGTGACTATGTTTTTTTATCGTACCGACTTTAGTAATGACGATCGAAGCTAGGCACAAAATTCAATCGCTAAATTCTCGGTTTGGAGCAGGGTTCTTAATCCATTTTGAAACGAACCGGCCAGAATTAGGTCAAATGAGGTCCCGTTAGTTAATCGGTTAATTATAAGATTCCATTCCCTTTAATATAACGAGAATTCCACGAAATAATTCTTGGTAATTTGTTATGGAGAATGTCGTATTCTGATGTATGTGATTACCACAAAAATAATGACAATTAGGTACACCATTTGAAAATTTTCCATATTTAATTCATGTACCAGCTTTCAAGATCACGTCAGTAATACTCCTGTCATTGGAATTCAGCAATGGAGATTCTATCGGGAAAATATATTATTAATGACTGTTTCTCAGTGTATTAGGTATTCTATCAGGGGATTATACCCAATGAAGATTTAAATTTACCTAACAACTGGTCAGGGAATCCATCAATGTATGATCCAGTTATTATTTTAATATCTACCGGTACCTGGAATTCATACGGAACGTGGAAGACGCTCGATTGGCAAACCATGCCGAGATTGTCTTCTTTCACCACGTGGGCTATTTTTACAAAAGCAGCTTACTGAACCTGCTATGGATAATCAGCAAGCTTGTTTTATCCAAATTACCGTTAAATGTGCTAATTAGGCTACTCGGATTATGAACCACATGGTCAATTCGCACTAAGGCCATGACTTGTTGTAGCCAACAAGCATGTTGATTGACTTCTTAATTAACATGTAATAATTAATCCGATGTAATTTAGCCGAAAGTAGATTGATTTATGATACCATACTGGCTGGTTCATTGTTTTACCAATCAGCTAGATTAAACATCAATCGGCTAAAGCCGACAAAAAACAACCAATTAAGAACACTGGTTTAGAGTGAATCAATTTTACTGAAATTTTCAGAAAATTCCCTTTACATTATCTAGTGTTTAACTATTATAGTGAGAAATGCCAGCTCTTTATCTAATCTCCTATAATGTATCTTTAACCAAATAATATACAAATATTAACAACCAACAAGAGTTCTGTTTTAATTTATACATACGGAATATTCAAGACACTATAAAAGAAGTGCACTTGTACAGTATCTTATCTTTTACTCACCCATATCAGCATGAAGTAAACTGCTTTCTGGATCTGTTACTAACTGCTGTTCTAAGTTGTGTCTTTAAATAAAAAAATATTGAATGTACATAGCTATATATATATATAAAACTTGTAGGGGTGGGGAGGGGATTGATTGCCATAAGATGAGACTGGGCAATTTAAAAAATGAAGCAGATAGAGAATATTTTCTTATTTCTACAGAAACTTTTCATCAGCCATCCAGCAAGTCCACTGCTGTAATTTGTTTTAATCTTTTCAACACACTAAACAATGGTCAATGGCAACTCACACAAGTCATTCTGTGTGAGTCTATATTTGGACAAATAGTCATGATCTATTTGTCCTCAGTTTTCTCTTGGCAAAGCCCTGAAGAGTATAGTTTATATTTACAGGAAGCAGTTCCCATGACTTTGAAATAGATTATCAATAAAGGAAAAACATTTAAAAACCCAACAGTACTGTATTAAACATACATTATGCAAGACATTTATTGAACATGAAAAGACGATAATCAACGATCAATGCCATCTAATGTGTCTGATTTTCATTGGATTTGAATCTGATCTGCTTTTCAATGCCCGTTGATGATTAAATGCAAAAATGGATAATTGAGACTTTGTTAATTATTGTGAAAGCGGTAACAATGACAATCAAGACTAAATTGATTTTAAAATAAAGTTTTCTCAGATTAGAGAGAAGCAATCTGACTGGAATTTTCAGCATATTCCCTTTACATTATCTAGTTTTTATATTGAGAACTGGCACCTCTTTTTCTAATCTTCCATAATGTATCTTTAATAACTGTACTTATATATACAGAAGAAGTAAATGATTAGAACCCAAGCCACATAATGATATGGAGAGAGAGAGAGAGAGAGAGAGAGAGAAACCTCCACTGGACACAAACTAGGTCATATCAGGACTAACATATGGTTCAATATTTTTATTTCAATAATTTGATTGTGTGTAGGGGTCTTTAGCAGTGGGAGGAAACCAGGTTGGACAGGCGACCCTACTCCTTGTCACGTACAAGCGGGGAATCGAAACCATGACATTTGACTCAATGACAGACCTTCTGATCCAACGCGCACACATTAACCATTTGGCCACCCAACCCCCCACATAATGATGTGATCTTTAACGATCAACACATCATGAATATTAACATCATTGACAATCACAATATGTGTCCCATAGCAAGACTGCTGACAAAAAACTAAGGTAATGACAACTCCAATATGCTTGATGTACTTGGACATAAAACCCATAGATTTAACACTGAAGTGAATGGGGGACAGGGGTTACACAGACTTTTGTGGGATTCTTTTCATCCACTATATTTTCTTACTTTTTTCTCTGTGATGGATGAAGGATACCTGGAGTATCTAAAAACACCTGAAATACAAATTATACAATTAAACTATATTCAATAATTACTAAATTAATGTTATACTAGCATGCCTCAATTTGCTTATCATTTTCAAAATTTTCAATTAATACAAATTTGAAACAGAAAATAATATTTTTTGTAAGAAAATATTCATAGGCAGTACTAAGGTCTATTTAGAGGGGGCACACTCACACATTTAGCTCTCTCTGATTGGCCAATCACATTTAAGGAAATTTGTGCGACAACTGAAAGTGATTCAAACTAATCAGTTATGTATCTCCTACAGGTAATTCAAGGAAATAAATAAATAAACAGAGATACAAAAAATATTCATTTGATAGATTCACATTTTCCAGAAATGTACTAAAAAATTATCAGTTGAATGGAATCAAATATTTGAATAGCATTTAAATAATGACCGTAAGATCATCTTTAATCAGCATTTGACGTATCTACTGGTAACCTGCAATTGTCCAGCGGTACTTATATTATCTTGAATATACTAGCAAGTAGAATAAAAACTTTTGTAAAATTGATCAAAACTTTTATTAAAGATGTATCGCATATGTAAGATTTTGATAAAGAGCTGGTCGTTAATAGTTCAAAAATAGATAATGCAAAATGAATAAACATAATACGATAATAAACAAAGTCTTGATTATCTATTTTTCAATTAAATAATTAACTTGCAATCATGTTTAAATGGGTGGAAAATCTCAACTATGCGAAGATTTAGAGAGTTGATTATGTGAATAAATGTTTTATATAACATTCAAGGCCAAATGAGAGACCTACAATAGACCACTTTACTTCTTACATCATCTTTAATTGTATCATTATACCATTCAAAATAATTGAACACAACTTACCACTTGTGTGTTGTCTTCTGTGTGAACCGCTAGTGTGTTTTTTCTTGTGGTGTGAACTTTTTGAGATACTGCGGACACCTTTAAAAGAAATATGTTTTATGGCATTTTACGTTCTTTATATGAAAGTTGTAAATTAATAAAGGCAACATGAAGATAAAACACTGTAAGCCATAATTTAAACTAAACAAGTATATGTAATTAAACCCACTTCTGCTTATCGGTAATCTTTCGAAACAACAATTCGATCATAATTACTAATCAATAACACATCAGATCAATCCAATTCAATGATTAATTTTGACCAATGCCTTCCCACGTACAAACTGTGTGATTTGATATATTTGGATTAAAATAATATTCAAATTAATTTATCTATCAAAAACATCAATATCCCTGTCAAAACATTTTAATCACAAGGAACTACCCGAAGTCGTAAAAATCGATTTTAAGCAGCTTTGTTTGTGTCCATTTAACATAAATATCGAAGCCTAAGTAAAATCTTGGATTATCCTCTGCCAACTTCTATTTCAGCCATTTAATTGCAGTGTCTCACAACCACTAGTGCTTCCTACATCACTCAAGCAGACAGGCTGTCAGTAAGTGATACTTTAACATTTTTGTCTTGTGCATGCCCCATAGGTGTTTTCCAGGGAATCCAGTAATTTTCTAGTAATATTGGGTGTCTCAGCCTTCCATAAATACCAAATCTGCCATACTATTATTGGAAATAATTACTCCATAAATACTTTCGTGGTAATGCATCTTAAAAAGTTTTTTCTTGGGTCTCTTAAAAAGTTTGTACATGTAGAAGCATTTTTATAAATTGAATAACACCAAAGTTAAAAGAAGTCATCTAATACAATCTCAATCCACACTGATATATCTCCATACAATAAAATAGTACTGAAACATTCTATTATCTATAAAGTATTAACTGGTCCTACCTTCCAACCCATTAGACTATTTGTAAGGGTTGATTTACCAGAGTTTGGTGTACCAATAATCGCTACTCTTAAAATTTTAGCATCACTGGGCTGATCTGGCTTCAATACAGAACGTGTTTTCTGTTCACCTTTAAAATAAACCAAAATTGAAAGGTCGGCTGCCAGGCAGGATATGCCCACATTTTGCAAGAGATGGATAGAGAACAAGCTAAAAGAAAAAACGATTTTTTGTACAATCAGGGGCCATAATCCAGAAAGTTATGGTCTGAAATGCGCAAATATGAAAAGGGACTGAGATTTCTGTAATATAAAGATATGTTTTAAGTTGCTTCAGAATCGGATTAAAATTGTGACCTCTAGAGGGTCCATAACCTTTGCATTACAATTTACATACTTGTACACAATTTGCGTACAAAGAGCGGCGATTTTGTCGGGCAGTTTCATTTTGATTTTCCTGAAATTCGAATTCAATCCTCATTATGGTTCAATGGTGATATATCTAAACGGTTTTTAAAATCGGAAAAAAATTTTGACCTCTAGAGAATCCACAAGCTAATAATGCGATTTTTCGACCAATCAGGGGCCATAATCCAGGATGTTACGTTCGGATATGTGTGATTATCAAACGGAACCAAGATCTTTATAATAAAAACATATATTTAAAGTTTCATCCAAATCGGACAAAAACTGTGGCCTCTAGAGGGTCCACAATCTTTATGTACCATATTTTTACACTATTTGTGTACAAGGGGCGGCCATTATGTCCATAAGTTTTAGTCAGATTTTCACGGATAAAAATTGTGACCTCTATGGGGACCACAAGCTCAAAACGCGACTTTTCGTACAATCAAGGGCCATAATTCAGGAAGTTACGATTCGATATGTGCGAATATTGAAAGGAACCAAGATCTTTAGAAGGTCCACGACCTTGATATAACAGATGTTTACACTATTTGCGTACAAGGGGGGGCAATTTTTTCCGTCAGTTTTGGTCCGATGTTCACAAAATTCGAACTCGACCATCATTAGAGTGTAACAGTGATATACTAAAACGTTTTTTTTACTCGGATAAAAATTGTGACCAAATTTGATTTTTCGTAACTATCTGGGGCCATAATTCAGGAAGGTACAATCCGATATGTGCGAATATTGAAAGGAACCAAAATCTTTAAGATATAAACATGCATTCCAATCCAAGTTTCATCAAAATCGGATGAAAATTGTGACCTCTAGAGTGTCCACAAGCTAAAAACGTGATTTTTCGTACAATCAGGGGCCATAATCCATGAAGTTATGGTCTGATACATACCAATATCGAAAGGAACCGAGATCTTTGGGAGATAGACCTATAGTTCAAGTTTCGTCAAAATCGGATAAAAATTGTGACCTGTAGAACGTCCACAAACAATTTGTGGGCGTATAAAAAAATAGTCATACTCATTGAGTCAAAAGGTTGGATTTGAGATTGCCAAATTGCTCAGGAGTGCCAAAACCACATAGGGTCACAACAAAATATTGTATACAATTCTACAAAGAAGTACATATAGCCATTCAAACGGATCAGGGCAAGGATCCAGTGCTAAAATATGGCGTGAAAGTAAGTAATTTATAGTTTTATGCAGTTAAGACATATCTCAAATAGATTAGCTGTTTAACAATAATTTCAACAGATACTCAACCAAAACTATAAGACAATCCTTTGGACTCCTTATTGATGATATAAATTACCTTTTGTTTTACCAATACCCCTTAATAAATCTTGTGTAGAGGGTAGACTGGGTTCATTCACTGAATCTGACAGCTCAGAACCATTTTTCACTGCAGCAGAAGTAGAACAATGTTTAATTGATGAATAAACCCTGGAGATTCTACACCATGTTGCTGAAATTATAAAAAAATATTCTAATTTTATAATATATTGGTTTGATCAAACGACCACACCTGGTGTACTTACTGGGCAATTCGTTCTGTTGTTTTTTTCCTCATAGGTTTTGCTTCTATTCATCATTCATCAAATATAGGTTGCAAAAAATGAAATGAAATGGGGTTTAACGTCCTAGCTGTACTGCTCCGACTGGGCTAATGAAGATGGGCATATGCCATACAGTATGCTACGAGGGAAATTTTGCCCGGACAGCGACACTACAACCTACTCTTTTACGTGCATGCCAATGTGTACAAATTATATAATGGTAATCAGATGATAACTTTAAATGTTCCAGCTTACCATCTATAATCTAATACACATATTCAGTTAATTCAGTTAAGAAACACCATTTAGTTTTGACATCGGTCATCTAGGCCTAATCTAATGACCATTTAGTTTAGTTTTGATATTGGTCATCTAGTTTATTTAACACATGCTGCATGGCAATCTATTAACTGAATATGTGTAGGCCTATTAGATTATATTATAGATGGTAAGCTCAGTTTCTTTCCTTTTTTCATCAAATCTGAATGATACCCGGTCCCTAGTGTTACTGCAGTGATTGTTGACAAATCGATCAATTCCAACTAAAATATAGTGAATGAATACCTTAACTTACATTGTTGATTCTTTTGACCACACTGGACATGTACTGAAGAAAGTATCCGACATAAAAATGTCACGCTTGTTCTTGTGGAGGTAGCCATTATTTTTTCTGCCACCTATAAGAGTTACTTCCCTTGCCTTCTTTTTGGCCACAGATCACTATGATTGTGCCATAGGCTTAATGTTAATTCTCGTCTCTTAGACAGGTTCTAACGTTTTCCCAAATTTTCGTTGGGTAAAATGCTTTCTACCACAGATGGAGCAACATCTGGCAACCGCTTGCTCAAAAGTACGTATTAGGTTCACCAAGGAAAACTTGAGATATATACAAACTGGAAGTAAAGATAAAAAACATGCAATTTTCGGCCCTATTATATATTTCAGCCTAACCAACCTCTCAACTCTCATATATTCCGCCTCAAAATCATGAATATTCACCAAAACTGGCAGAAATGTATTTTCAAACCCTGCAAAAGGGGGAAAGGTGAGAGAAAGACTAAAAATAGCTTTGATCCTTGTTTTGGCATCCCAAACTTAGGCTGCCTGTTTACAGCTAGCTCCGCCTGAGAACAGGCCCTAATCTAATTGACCGACATTTAAATTCCTACATCGACGATTTTAGTCGAAAACACTGAGTATGCTTTTAGAAATTTTTAAAAGTATTTATTTCTCTTCTATTTTCATATTGAATGAAATTAAATATGATTATTTAGCCCTTGTGTGCATGAAAGATGTCAAACTGCTAAGAGCAGAATCACGAAATAGTCCACTAATTATTAAATATGGCGGCGCCCATGAAAGATAATTTCACAGAAGCGGTTTTGTTTGTGGGGACAAATTTAGGAGTGTCTAACCTTATTTTGAAAGATAAACGCGTAAGATTGAAACTGTAAAGACTGTATTGCAATATTGCCCACTAGCACATATTATTATATATCGCTTTTACCGGAGTGGCAGAAGTCGACATTTTACTAACTTGACATTTGTTTACATAAACCATGTGCTTCGGGTGTACAAAGCAGTAGGCCAGTCGATAAGTCCCGCCCCAAAATGATCACGTGAGCGTTTTAAATGGACGGCATTTAGGGCAGTGATGTATTCTCGAAGTAGGCCTATGACGTAGATGTATCGCTGGGGGCAATATGCTTGTTTGGGTGACGCCACAGGAGTATTTTGTGAGCTGTGACCTTTTAAAAAAAACACTAAACTTAGGCTGTCTGTCTACAATAGATGGTTCTTAGACAGGAATTACCCATAATTCATTGCGCTGTAGCCATCTAGTATTGCAACTGGCGGTTACTATGTACGCTGTCATTGTATTATAGCTACGCTTGAGATCTGTTCTCGAAGTAGAGTAGATAGTTCTATGTGTATACAGAATGACTATGATAGAGACTAAAACAAGACCGATTTTAAAATATCTCAACTCGAATCTCTTTAATAACTACATGTATAGGTTAGGGGAAAGTGGGACAAAATGGACCCCTCGTTTCAAATACCTGTAACGTTAAAGGACAATATTGGTGTCAGTCATGCATTATTACATATGTGATAGAACTCTTTATAATACATTTCAAATATAATTATTTTAACACAGATCATTGCTACGGGAGATGTGTAACAAACACTTGAATAAACGGGAAGTGACGACAAACATAACAAACACGAGTTATCCTTCTATTAAAGTTGCAATTGCAAATTTTCAAGTTATATTTTTAAAATGTATTAAAATAAAGCCTTAAAATAGATGGTATCCATAAACAGTCCTACCTTGTTAAAGAATAATCCTATTAATCCTATTGCCAGCTGAGAAATTGGCAAAAATATCATTTTTAACTTCAAATTCCAACGTTGGAAAATGGCTGCCCCATGTTGTCAATAGCAAAACAGGGGAGGTAATTGTGTTGTTATTTCCCGTGTCATAGATTTTTAAGGGTGCGAAATAATGCCCATGATCGTATAATAGTGATTTGATAACCTATTGAGCAAAAGACATAGAAATAATTATGTTTTGACTTTCTTAGAAAATTTGAAATTCCCACTTTAAACTGACTGAAGTAACGAGCGATAACAAACACACAGGCGAATTTCATTTCACTGATAATTCCGTTGAAGATGGAAAGTTGTTATATGAGACGATGAGAGGATATCTCACAATTCAAAAATAGAATTGGCTGTCACTAGATAAGAGAAAACGAGAAATATCTCGTGCATTCCCCTGTTTTATTCATTCTGCTCTTAATAAAACATGGTAATGCACGGACTTTTTCTAATTTGTTCGTTGTCTTTTATCTACTGACAGCCAATTCTAACTTGTTTTTAATACCGGTATCTGTCTGTATTTTTTTTTCACTTTTTAGTGAACAAGCATGGATAACAGTCATGTAAAACGCCAAAGAACTTGTCGTTTGATCGCAATTATTCAATGTCTATGACTTTGGACTTTTGAATAGAGAGATTCTCGTTTATTTCCATGCTGAACCGTCTTTCCCCAACAGGGTGGACCATTTCCCCAAGTGCATGTACAAAATGGACCACCAAACCTCTCTATATATTTGTTGACCTGTTCAGATTAATATGGAAGTTTCGTTCTTGTACACTAATCCACTATGTCTATCAACTAATGGAGCACATGTATCCATCAAAACATAAACATTCGTCTCATTATTACTTGAGAACGACAAGAGGAACTTGTTGAAACGTAGTGTGAAATAAACCCAGTGATTGTTTTCCATATAAATTTGTGTTTTATATCATATGTTCAGTTACTAAATGCCGTATAAGGATTTCATTCGTCTCATTAGTAACTGATGAACCTTGCCAAAACCTTAAGTGGTCCATTTTGTACCACTTTCCCCTGTAGAGTTTTTGTGACAAAATCGTACTTAGCCAATGGGTGGGGTCAGAACAAAAAGGTAGTGCTAGTGTTAGAATTTGTGTCAGTAAAAAAAGGTTAAAGATACATTATGGGAGATTTTAATAGAGAGTTGGCCATTCTTGCTATAACAGTTCAAAAACAGATGATGAAAGAAAAATATATTGAAAATGTCAGTCAAATTACTTTATTCTGAACAAAGTTATCACTATTGTAATTTTTGACTAGAAATGGGAGTCAATTCTCACTTCACCGTCTCCGAGAATAGACGATCGTTTGATTGACAGGCGTTTACTCCACCTACATAATCTCGATTATTAAGTAACGTTTTCAATGGCTGTGGTTTGAGACGGGGTTGCAATTCATTTCGTATCACATTTATTTTTACTACAAATTAAAAATAAGACTTTTAATATATAGATAAGAAGCGAAAGTTTGAAAGGAATGGACCAAATCAATGAGGCATATTGTTATCCAGCGTGTACTCTTGTACTGTAACTGGTAGGCCTGCGTAACTCCCGATCAGTGATCCAATGGAGCTGCAATTCAACTGGGGTCATGTTAGCTGCGATGTTTATCAATTTCTATAATTTTTCTGTAAACGCAATTAGTGACAAAAGAGCGTAGCCTATAATACCGACATCCAAACTCTCATTTTAACCATAACTAAACATAATATCAAGGCCGTATATATGTATATCGAACTTTCAATCAAATTGACTGACATGCGGCCTCGCTCAACAGCGGTCTCGCTTCGTACAATCTATCATTTAGCCTCGATCTAAAATTATTTCAGGGAGTATGACGTCAAGGTAACGGTTAATCTCCGCTTACGACGCCATTTAAAAATTTAATCAATCCAAGCTATCCGTGGGTCTACAGAGTTGATTTTGTGCTTGTTGTGTAAATAAAGATCTAATTTATAATTTCTATGACATCTGAAGCCTAAATAAAGACTTGCAATAATCAGATTTAGCTCTTGCATAATGTATGTTTAACCTGAGCCCCTTTATCCGATGTTCAGGTTAGCAAAAGGATTACACTTTGGAAAATATATAAAATTTTAACATTGAAAATCATGGTCAATTTTAATACCTAGTTTGTTCCTTTTACCTTTACCCTTATTGTACCCATTAAGGCTTTTGATGTGTAATGGTAAGACATATTGAGAGACCTATTGGGTGATTATTTCATGGGGCACTACTGGTATATGCCTTCAATCACATGCATCTAGTGGTCCATTTTTTTTAAATACATGTGCTGATAAAACATTTAAAAAATGTTCCTAAAAGGTACGAATCATATGACCGGTAGGGATACGATACTAATAACCAAGCAGTACTATAGGTGTGGACATTATTTTATTATATTTCAATACAAATATCATATCCAATAGTGAAAATGGAAAATGAATAAGTCTTAAACAGTAAATAAGACCGAAGCAACTCAATCTGAATCACAATTGTGAAAGGTATACACAAAACCATCATTAGGGGTGCACTCAACATTGACCACGACTAACACGCCATGATATCCACTGCTCTCTTGATCGACTTTCCGAAATATTTTCATAGCGTACCAAACAGAATGCATCATCATTGCTTTTACTATCAGTTTCCATATGTTTCTTTTTCTTAGGTGGTTGTTTCGTTTTTGTCTTCTTTTGAGAACTTTGTTGTTGATTACCCCTTTTACGAATTCTGCTGTTTGTGTTTTGTTTTTTTCAGCTTTAAGTTTTGTTTGTAAGGACTGCTAGTCAGAATCTGTGATTTGGATGCTGTTGATTTTCACTTCTTATCATCGCAAAGCAGCGTAGGCAAGGGGCTTAAATCTCTAATGCGAAACGGGACCAGAGCTTCGTAATGTCCAGCATCTTCGTTAGAAATGTAGTTGACATAATATAAAGTGGGCCTTTATCGCATTTAATATCATTATATGTTATGAAATTATCAGTGCTGTTTACATAAATACGTCTTTTAAGGTTTCGGCTGCACACTTGATCTCCATTTTAACTATCATGGACTTAGGTTCGGCTATATGACAGATTCTATCTGCTAGTGTTTGGAATCTTATTCGTTGTGGCATATCAGCATTCAATACCACGGTGTCAGTGTTAAAATTCATATCACACATATGTGATATAGTCAAACCTCTCAGATTATCAGCAGTGGAAGTTTCTTTCAAGGATTTCAACTTATCAAAAATCTCTCCCGTGACTTTATTTCTTTCTGCAGCCTGAGAGTCCAGATTTATACCAATAGAGGGTGTCCTGAAAAACAGCGACCATC